GTATTGCTTTTCCTTATGCATCGATCTGTTTTTGGCAACCAAGTGATGTAAAAACAGTCGTTGCTGCATATTTTCTTTTCTTCAACTTAAAAAAAACATTGACGTCATGAAGACTTAGATCGTTTAAAGGTATTTATTTTTCTCCGTTTTGTTGTCAAGAACAAAGTGAGCAAGCCTTGGCTGGCAAGATGTGCCCTTGTAGCAAACTTTGGCAACCAACCAGAACCGCTGTATCTCGCTTACGAAGCAGCGCAAGTAAATACCTTTCCTTTGCGCGAACAAACAAATCACTTTTCAAAACAGTTCAACTTCGTCATGAAGAAGAAAATTTTTTTGTCGTTTGGTGCCGATTGCATTCAAAGGGATTGAGACAGATTTGAAATATGAGGGTTAACTCTTTCATTCCCAAGCTGCTAAAGAATAAATATCTTCTAACAATGTCAACACGTAGAAAGTTTAGGAGAGGCAACAAAAATATCAACTATGGAATATATTATATTGCTGAAGAACCAATTTTTCAGATATATAAAATTGCATGTACAAGAAATGGAAGGTTAACAATGAGGAGATTTGTTTTTTTAATCTTGGGAGTGAAAGGATGAAAGAGGGTAGACTCCTCAATTTTCTTGGGTGTTAGTTCGCGCCTTTCCCTTCAAGGTTCTTATTTTACTTATTCCTTGATATCCTGTATATAGTGTTCCTCCAATTCTTGTCCAATGTAGATTTAAAGACTTTTAAGGATAAGAACGTGAAGATTTTGGAGGCAAAGATACATAGAGTTTACATTGAAATGTTTTTTGAGTGTGAAGTAATGGACGATGGTATGCGTAAGGTCTGGGATCGATTCAGCATGGAGGAACACAGAAATTTCCCTCTGCTCCACGCCCGAGATAAAAACATTAACATATTTATTTATACATGGAGATCATCTTTTTATTTCTTTTCACAGCATGGATTGGCGCCATGGCCATGGGTTTAAACTTTTTTTTTGGTCCTATATCAAGTGCATTGTGTGATCGTTTTGGATGCCGTGTTGTGTCCTTTGCTGGTGCGTTACTATCCGTCTCAGGGTTGTTCCTAACCTCCTTCATACAAGAAGTTCATAAGATGTATGTGACCTACGGGCTTGTATGGGGAATAGGTTCTAGTTTCTCCTTTGTGTCGTCCATCGTTGTCCTGGGTCAATACTTTGATAGAAGATTGGCGCTTGCCAATGGGATTGCAACATCCGGAAGTGGGGTAGGCTCTCTTGTTGCCGGGCCGGTCATAAATTACCTACTGGCATCTGTCGGATGGAAACACTCCATGCGCATTTTGAGCGCGTTTGCTGGACTGTTATGGATTGCAGCTATGATCTTTAAACCAAGGAAAAATCTTCAGTCTACCAAGGAAAGAAGATGTACCAAGTTATTTGATACTTCAATATGGAAGAGTAAAGCGTACGTTTTGTGGGTCACTACTGTAGCTGTGTTTCAATTTGGTTATCTCATTCCATTTATTCACCTGGTAAGTTGTATCGCTATTTGTTTAATACGCAACAAAATTTCTCTTTCCTGATTGGTCGGTGACAAATACATAAAAGGTTATAGACTGCCATTCGGGATCTTCCTAATTCAATCTCATGACTAAATCATCGTTTAAAGATAAGTTAGGTGGATAATTTCTAAAGCTGAAAGCCTCATGAAGAATTAAGGGCCACCGCTCGAAACCCCAGCTTTAGAAACTCTCTTCGGTGGACTATTTACATTATCGACTGAGTAGATTAGACCAAGTTATTTTAAAATGCCCTCTACCGACGCGGCACCACAGTTTTTTGTTGAAACTTATCACCCTTATTCGTTTCGTTATTATCTGCAGGTGAGGTATGCCGAAGATTTAGGAGTTCCAAAATCTAAAGGCGCTTGGCTGATTGGTTTTCTATCCATCACCTCAACGCTTGGTCGAGTGGTATTTGGCAAGATTTCCGACTTTAAATTCGTCAACAGGCTCTACCTGTACCAATTTTCGATATTTTCCATTGGATTGAGCACTCTCCTGTGTCCTCTGCTCAAAAACTATGCAGGACTTGTGGGTTATGCTTTGATATTTGGATTTTTTGACGGATGTTTTGTGGGCCAAGTGGCGGTGATTACGGCTGATGTGGTCGGACGCGATAAGCTTTCTCAAGCAGTGGGCAACATGTTTGGAACTCTGGCGATACCAATGAGTCTTGGTCCTCCGCTTGCAGGTAATCAGCTGTGTGAAAGATTGTGAAATTTTCAATCAAATGTCTATTGTAATCCGGGATTGCTCTTATAGGGTCCGTAATTGATCTAAAGAATTTGCTCCACCCTCTCAGTCAATTAGATGCAAAGCAAAGCGAGTTCTTTATCTTTGTTTCTGTTGCTAAGACTGATTCGATTCAGCCGTTCAAATGAAAAGGGTCCAGACTAACCTGAAGTTTGCTCTCTGTTTTCAGGTTGGCTGCATGAAGTATTCGGTACCTATGATGAAGCATTTTATATAGCCGGTTCTGTGGCGTTATTTTCTTCGCTCATGATTTTTGGGGTGAACTGTATGATTCGAAAGCAGTCTATAGCAAGGAGGCAATTGGGATTTAAAAACGACACTTCTTTGAATATTTCTGAAGCTGAAACGGCATCTGACTCTGTTTACAAAAATACAGAATCACAGCCGATGCTGGAAGAGGAGCACATTGTCACCAATAAACTTTGCAAGCTTCACTGCGCTTTAAGAACAAGCAAGGAACTTCTGGTGGTTGAGAGAGAAACTGTTTTATAGCATTTTTAGAGATTCTTAGATTACTGATAATGCAATTTTCAACAGAGTGTAGAAACTTGTCCAGGACTGCTTTGGTTTTGCTTTGCTTCGCTGTGTCCTTGGTCTAAAAAACTCGGCCTCTTTTCCAACCAATCAGATGCAAATCTTAAACCAACAGCGACTTTGTCACTTGCGAAGTGTGTCCATCAAATAACTTTTTTTGACACGGTGTGTCTGAACGGTGGGTTTAAACACATAGGGTGATCGAATATGCCCTAGCAACCAACTAAAACTGGAAAATATCCCCGTGATAAACCTCAAGTGATATTCCCTAATCTTCGAATGTTCGTCTACCACAGTGAAAGTGTTCTTTTGAATTCAATTCAAAATGATAGACCATTTATACCTTGCTGCAGAAGACGGGACGTCGAACCGGAGAACATTGAAAAGTAAATATCCCATGCAGCAAACTGAAAGCTGTTCGTAAACATTTTTCCTGCACGTTGCTAAATTATTTGAAATATAATGAATACAACAGCCTCCAGTCAGCGTTAAAATATACATGCATATTTATCCGTGTACATGATCTGTTCTTCAGCCTTGCAGTTTTCCTGGAGCTTCGCTCTCTGAAAACTGTTCACAACTTGGGACAGATGACATTCGCGGAACTTGATATCCGTACGTATTCCCGCGCCTTATGGAAGCTATAGTTTATTAAATGTCATATATCATGGAGACGTGCGTGTTTTATAGTTTAGTGGCAGCGGTGGGGCTCAGGGATATTTTCAGAAGCAAAGGTTAACAACTGCATTGTTTACGTGACTATCATCGATATTTCACCATGATTTCACATACATCGCGTGACCTGACAAGGTCAAGGAACACGAAGCTAAGTTCAGACCAATTACTTAACAAAAAAGTGCATGTTACAAAACGTTACTTCAGTTATTGAAATGTAAAAGATCTGCGCTAACATGGAATAAAGGTTAACTCAAGTCACCCAGTGTGTAACTAGCGTGACGTCATGGGACGTGACGTACGCACAAGTTGAGGCAGGTTCATTTCGTAGCAGGCGGTGTGCGCACACCGATTGCTTTGCATTGTGGTAGCTTCATTTTCAATATGGCGGTGAAAGCGGCAGAAATCGGCAGACTTTGACTGAGCATTCTGTAAAAGTTAGGCCCCTCCTTTTTCCTTTCACCATAGGTAAATATAACCTGATTTTTTCTGAATATTTAAAAGTATTTTTTGTACGTATTTGTCGCGTATTCTATGGTTCTCAAGAACAAACGCAATCACTGTTTTTTAGTATGTAATTTGAGACCAGTTTTCGAGAAGTTCAGATTTGATGTACGTCGTAGTTTGGAACCTTTCAAAAATTTGGATCGCCGCTTTGATCCTTCTTCAACAGCTCTGGCTAAACGTTCTCAAACGCTCTCCAACGGTACATGTGTTTCGCGCATTTTAAGTGCTAGTATTTGAGACTGATTATTACCAAGAAAAGGCCTATTGTTGCGTTACACAGCGTTACTATTGTATACTCAATTGTGTCGTAAATCTACTTTCCTAAGTAGAAGCAAATTAACTAATCGCGAGTGTTGTATGGTAAATCTACTATCTTGATCACTGAATGAAGGGCAGTTGAATTAGGGCATTAAAAGAAGACACTTGACCACTGAATAACTGGGCATAGGGTAAAATATGGACTGGACTATTTTTTAGACCATTTCTTGGACCATGTTTTGGACAATTTTTTTTGCACCATTTTAAAGGGGGGAGCACACCATTAGTGCTGAGGGAGGGGTGGGATGAAGTCTATCAGCATTTAGAGAGGGGTGGGAGGCAGAGTGTTATTACCCAGGCAGGGGCGAGAGACGGACTATTACTCCGTAGGGAGGGGTGGGAGGTGGTTGTAATAGTAAACACTACTGGTTAATGGAGCTTTTACTCGATCGTACAAACTATTTTAATTGGTTTTTCGACTGAATCTTTGTATGTCTAAATTTTGATGCTGGGCCGCGGCCTTTCTTCATTTTTTTTGTCATGCGAAGGCGAAACTGCCACGTAAACACTAGACTTTACGTTTTGCCGACGGAAAATATCGGCAAGCAACATTAGCCACCATAGTTCCATTGAAAATAGCTGTCTCTTTGTGATGAGTTTGCATGTCAAAGGTTGATTCCCTGTTAAATAACTCGCGAATTTGATATTATTTACACAGCCATCGGCTTTGAGTGTAACTGCTGTCAAATGAATAGATTCTGGGCAAGGCTGCAGTTTTGATTCTTTCTGAATCTCTACAGTTGCCTCCTAACAACGAATTTGTCACGGAGGAATAGCAGGAGTCGTGCAGGCCTGCCAACACTTTTTAACTTTCGAAGGAATGGCAACAGGCAGTGAATCTCCATTACATTCCACTACATTCTCGTATTTCGTGTACGTGACATGTTGTCGTTTCGCCTTATTTTAGCGCGCGCGGTTGGTGAACAAACAATTCTTTCCGAGAATCTTCGCAAAAGTGTTTGGTTTGGTTTTTTTATATTATCTTGAGAAACACAAAGCAAAAAGAGTTTCACAAGCTGAATTCGGGTTGCGAATCAATTTTCTGTGATCGAGAAATGGAAAGCGAAAACCGAGCAGATGATGGACTTAGAGGGAAGTCAACAAGTCGAGACGGCGGCTATGGCTGGATAGTCTGCTGTGGGACTTTCATCGTAAATTTTGTGGTATTTGGAATTCACAACTCATTTGGTGTTGTGTATGTTAACCTGCTCGATGAGTTAAAACTTGGTGCGATGCAAACAGGTAAGCAAAGAGTTCATTTAGCTGAGCGCCCGTGCCGGTATGCAGAAGTTACTGATCCATAACTTTTGATGGGTTACTAGTGTCTCTTGGCTTGAGGCTTATGAATTCTCTATTGATACTGACTAGTTATAAGTAAGATTCAGGATTTATTATATAGATACTGATGAAATACCAGGATAATTCTTTTTGCTAAAAAATCATATCTCCATCACGTGCGGTGAAGATACATATATGTTATTTGCCGGCTGGGAGGTCCGTATGGTGAAAAACTGTGACCGAGGTCTTGAAAATACTGCCCGAGGCCGTAGGCCGAGGGCAGCATTTTCAAGACCGAGGTCACAGTTTTTCACCATACGGACCGACCCTTAGCCGGTAAATAACATATTTATTGTTTTTAAACTTGACGAAATTCTTTCCGATAGAACCCGAATGACTTATGGCCGTAAATACGGCAAAATCTTCCATAAACTGAACAATTTTTGAGTGAGTAAATGGTGGTTAAAATAGAGGTGATGCAAATTTAAGAGAGATTCCTCAGCGAAACATTTTCATTTCCGTAACGATAAAGGTGATTTAAAAGGCTTCCAAACAAACTTTGAAACATTAGTTTTACAAGTATCTGTCACAATCTGACACCTGTCAATTAGAGAGCGCACAAGAAAAAAAAATCGTAGGAACATTTGAAAACCAACAGAACTAGTTTGGCAAGGACTGTCACGACAATGTTTTCTTAAAAATCAGTTAATGATCTAACGGAAAGTATTATTTACTCTCATCGACCATTCATTCATGTACGAAGATTTACCTCTGTTCATTAAGTAAACGGCGAGGAAAGTAATAGTGAGTAAATTCAATTTTTTATTTTGAAGTTGTGGGAGTTTGCTCGTTTGTTTGCTGTAATGGCGTGTTTAACTCTGATCTTTCCGTCACAAAAACTAAATTCGAACGGCACACTCCAACGAGACACAAGGGAATTCAATGCAGCCTTTTCTCAATTCCTTCAATTTTTGTTGTGCAATTTAAGGTAGAAATGTCCAAATTGAACGGAATTGGAAAGACTCACCAGGAGCGTATATTTGTTGTAGAACTTAAATTAAAACTTCGCTCGCTTTTTTTTTACTATGAACAAATTGCTCGAGAAAATTCAGATATTAAATGAATGAAAGTTCCATCGTTCAGTTTAACTGTAACCAAATACCTCACGTTTCAACTTTCTGGGTACTTTTTGTGGACGATTAAAATTAATTGCAGACGGTTTTTAGGCCGCTTGTCAACCAACGTAATGACACTATTGTTTATACAAATTCATTCTGAAACCAATATTTTTCTGTCAACCAAAGTGATTTGATAGAGAGAAAATGGAGGATTCATAAGTTATTTATCGGCTTGAGATAGTGACCGACGTGTTTGCTTAAAAATACTGCCCAGCCGGAAAACGAGGTATTTATTGATATTTATGAAAAATGACAACGAAAGTTGTGATGTACTCGGCGACTCAAGAAAGCGTTACCGTGGCCCGTGGGCAGAGATAGGAAAATACTGACCGGGTAAAGAACCAATCAGATTGCAAGATTCGTTACCGTGCCCTCTGAAAAAACAATAATATTTGTTATCTTTCCCGTGTAATGATATTGGTGTCGCCATGGTTACTAACCTGATTAGCCAATTACAAGATAATTATGGCGCCTGAGCTTCCCGCTCAGGCGCCAGGAAAGCGTACTCCGATTTCTGATTACGAAATCCGAGCTCGCCCGATGTTGTCTTCGTGTTAAAGGCCCCATTCAGCATATTAGACCCGCAAAACAGAGTAGAAACGAACACGTGCTTCGTTTTTGCTCATGACTTCGTATCAGGCGTAAGATATGTCCTTTTTTTTTCGTTGCTTACCTTTATTTCAGACTCCACAAAATTTTTTGCGATGCCTCCTTTTCAAGGATGGCCAATTACAACCACAACATAGTAACACCTCCACGAAATCTGTCAAAAGGAGGATTTTTAAACACCGGAAATGGAGAGGAAAGATAAATGATACGGTCGATTAACTCCCAGACAATTGAATGGTCCAAACTCGCAAAGGCGGGAAATTTATTATCGTGCGACATATCAAAGTATCTGTTTGCTCACTCAATTCGTATTCCAATAGATAATTTCGCTTTCCGAACAAAATTTCAAATTCTATTATGGCACGTAAATTAACTTCTCAAGAAGTGAGTTCATTGTTTGAGAGAAAGTTGTCTGAAAGGTCAGGTCTGGTGAAGGATGTCAGGTCAGCAGAGTTCATTCTTCGAGAATATGAAACTGCCACCATCACCAAATTCTATTGTAGCAAGTCAACTGACAAAGGTTTTGGAAACACAGGTGAGAGGCCAATCTTCTTGTCATATGCGATTGTATTTTTTCCGTCATGTAATATCCTGGGCTTGATGAAAAGGTCATAGACAGGCCTACACAGACTCCCCTGTGTGGTTTTACGTTTGCGACGCAAAAGCCTTTAATTAAAGCTTTGCTCCGACGAGTATGTCTTTGAGCGATTTACCTCTTTTGTATGATATAATCGGAGGCGTTTTGTAAATTGTTTTCAGCAGTGGCTGATTTTGGATGAGGTTCCATTCTTGCATCAGTATTTGTTTTAAATTTTTAACCCCTGGGTGGTATGCTGTCACAAAAGGCAATATTTTGCCTTTAGTTTTTTTGTTGTTTTAAGGGTCGACTGCCTTGCGGCAAACGAGACCTCAGATAACGTTTTTTCAATTAGGCTTTTTGGGTAACCACGTGCTTCAAGTCGTTTTGAAGTTACACATGGCCTCCTGGAAATTTCTTTCCGAGGAGTTTGTTCTTAGAAGTCTGATAGCTTCTCCTTTAATAAAGCCTTTCTTAACACCTGGCGGGTGGCAAGATGAATAGTGTGTATATTGAAAGGTCTCAGTCGGTTTGTAGTGAGTTTTGACGTCGAGGATAGCTTCGTTTTTGTCTATCCTGTCGACATCAGTATTTACAGTGTTCCTCAAGGGCGAACGTGATCTTTCACGTGTATTTACATTGTATTGTGATCGTGCCTTGGCTCGAGTTGTGATGCTGGAGGGCTATCCTCTGGGTCGGACTTAACGAGTCCATGGTGCGACGCTGGAGACGAGACCAGGCGACTCTTCTTTCTGGCAAGCTTGAGATGTCTACAAGACGTGCAAAAATGAGCCGTTTCACTCCCAAGTGTCCTAAACTAGACGAACAAGCGATGGAGTGTTTTTTACGGCAGAGAGACCAAATATTTCATTTGTAATGTGAAATGAGAAGAGTTTTTGCTGAGTTGAGTGAGATCGTCTTTCAATGTAAGGGAAGCAAAGAATCTGATTGGTGGTCAGAATACGTTGTTGTCATGTCAATTTTAAAGCATGTCATGTAAAGAGCGCTGCAGTCATGGAATTTACGGTCATTTCGCATTAACACTTGATTTGTACTTGTTTTTGAATTCCAAACCCTCGGCTATAAGCAGAAGCCCGTTTCTTGTGAAAAAATTTCCCAAACTTTTTTGTCAAATACTGAAAAATCGCTCGGCTTATAGGTGAAAACATACGGTAATCGTTGTTTCAGTAGCAGCGCATATTGAATTTTACAGTGTTCTTGCGGGAGAGCAAAGCGTGATGCTCTGGGAATAAAAACTCTTAGGGGCTTTTTACATCATATAGGAATGAGTTTTGTTCAAGAACGAGTTCATCCCGATCGCCACATGATAGCAAAATAAAATTATTCGAAACGAGTCATCAGGCGATCGGATATGAGTGAAGATGCTTGTCGTACCTTTCAGGGGTCAAACTCAGTGATCTGGTACCTTTTACGATGTCTCAAACTTTAGTGGACTACCAGAGACCTAGCTGGTACCTTTTAGGATGTTTTTCGCTCAATAAAATAACTGAAATAATCATTACTAGGACGATTTTAATGATCTGACTTGAGCCTCTGGAGCATATCTATAAAGGAGTTTTTATTTTTAGGATTTTTCCTTTTTTTTTTATAAATTGGTACTTTTTAGGGGTAAACATCATTTGTTGCCACTCCCACACAGATAAGACTCAGGTACCTTTTATAATTTTACATGGGTCATTTTCGAAATTCCCGGCGCGCACCCTCGCCCTCTTATGTATAGGGGTCCCCCGGGGGGTGCTGATACGTGCAGCACACTTGAAATTTAGCAAGGACAAAATTTGATGTGATTTTCGGTGAAGAGAAAAAAGTTTTGTCATCAAAACTTGTTAGTATGTAAGATGAAACGCTTATACAACAGATCAAATAGCTAAATCAGTATGTAGCTTGTCAATCGAATTGACTTTTGTGAACATTCTTTGACTTCCACCGGCAAAGGAATCATTGATGGATCTGGACATGTAGTTTTTTGAATGCAGTAATTCTTGGAAGGTTTTCATAGATATGCAAAGAGGGAAAAAAAACCCATCTCTTGGTAATTCGGAGGTTGATCCATCTTTGAATTTTTGTGTCACGCTTGTCATGCAACTGATATAATGATGGAGAGAAGTTTATAAACTGCAAATTAAATCTGGCTAAAATGTGGTAGAGCATAACTTGATCCTCGAAACAGCTCATAAAATCGTAAATAAATGAGGTAAGAGTATTATGCTAGATTTTTTTACAAATTGTCGCGATTTGTGCCAGTAAACGGTGGCGACAAATAGGCACTAGATGTGTATTTCATAGTCGCTAGCAAGTAAATTTTGCCGGACTTTGAGTTCATCTCACGTTAGAACGACACAAATACACAAGGAAATTTTTACAATAACTTTATAACCATCCTTTGTCTTTTAAAAGCTAGAAGCTCAGTAGATTCTGTCGTATCGGTCATTGTTAAAACTGTCTTTGTTTTGATGCTACTTTTCGACATAGAAAAAGCATGTCGAACAAAAATATTCACCAAAAAATAAATTTTTATTTTCCAGCTTCAATAATGACAGGGGATTAAGATTATGTTGACAGAAATACCGGAGGTCAAGTAAATTCGTTACATGAGGTCACACAACTCGGGAAAATTCACGATGAAAATTTGCATATTTGAGCGGTCGAACGAAAAAAATAATTTCTCGAAAACTAAAATATATTTTCACAAAAAAACTACACCACAATTATTAGGACATATTGGGCTACAAAGTACGAAAGTAGGGGAGAAAACGAATCTTGGGCGACTTGCCACAATATTTCAAATTTGTTCGATGGATGCTGACATCCTCTCATAACAAATTTTGTCTTCCCTCTCGGAATGGCATTATTTTTGCATTTGTTAGATACTTACGTCACGCAGCGAGACGTAATTAGTTATGCGGTAAACGATCGACCATCTGAAACTGATGCCATTACGTAAAATCAAATTTCTTGAAAAAACTGCTCACTGGGGTTACAAGAATGCCAGTTTACCTTTATATCTCCTTTTTGAATTTTTATTCTTTTGTTGTGTTTTGTCCTATTGATTTTCTAGTTACCGACCGATTAATCGTGTTAATCAACGTTATTTACCTAACATATCTCATTCCATGATTAAGCCAACAGCATTGTGGCTACGGACATTATCGGTGGTGTATCTGAGGCTAACGAAGAAAATATCTTTTTATTGAACATTAAGGCCGAAAAAAAAAAAAAAAGTTGTCTTTTCTGTAGGAATTTCATCAGTATCTATAAAATAAACAGAATATTACATTGCCGCTTAGGGATATGCTTCGCTCACTTGTGAAAGATACTTTCAGCACTCGAACATAAAATTCGTATCCCCCGCGCGGCCATGTAATATCCTCTATATAAGTTACATTATATAGTTAATGTGATATCTTGGCTCACGCAGTATACATAAGAATTTTACTATTTCCCTTTGAGCTGAAGTTTCATTTCCGTTTTTCACATAATAATTTCTCGCCAATAATTTATATCCGAAAAGCTTGGAAATCAATTTCAGCGGGAACAAGCTGTTCCTTTGCTGTTTGTCATCATCTTTTTAGTGTTAAGCTACCAGTTAGCGAAGCAACCGGAAAGTGGCTTCTGTACCACATATTTCACATTTTGTCTGCATCACTGATTACAGGCAAAGTTTCTCTGATCTTCCACTTCGCACGTTAGTTGGTACTTTACAATTTAAAAAATCTCTGATTTGCTTCGAAATCATCCCAATTTCTAGTCTGTTTTTACTTCCCCACGGTGTGCCATTAACAGGCAGCATCTTTTCTTCTCTCTAAACACGATCAACAGTTGTTGTTTGTTATTTCACCTCTTGCTCGGCTATTACAGGTAGTAACTTTTCTCTAACTTAAGTTTGGAAACGTTGGAATACTGTACATTGGCTCACTTCATTTGGAATCTTTTTCGGTTGGATCAGAGCGGATAGAACATTGATTTATGATAACTTTCTCTTCTTTTCTGATGCAACACAAAATACGTTTTGTTTTGGGTAAAAGAGTTACATGATCTCGTGGCGCCTCAAGTATGGACAAATTATAGAAGGGCGACAATAATTTGTTTATCATAGTGGCGTCAGGGATTGACAGCACGTTTGGCAGAAGTTTTCAAAGCCACACATTGACTAATACTGAAACTGTAGAATTTGTGAACCAGGTTTCAAAACTCTGATGCCGGAATGTCAGTGCCGGTAGAGAGCGGATTGGCCTGTTTCAGAATTTTTCAATTAAGGCTTTATTGACCCAACGTGAGGTTCTCAAAACAAGAGTTTAAAAAAAACATTAGCAGCGGCATCTTGACAGTGCATGCTTATTCACGCAAGACTAACCAAGGCCAGGAAAATAATGTCCTATCGTTTTCTCACCGATTTAACTATAAGCCCCAAAGGGAAATTATTTGCTCAAAAATCACGTAACTCGTCTTTTTTTTTCTTCAAAAATATGATCTCTGTTTTTTGACAACTACATGGATGTAAAAACAGTCGTTGCCGCATATTTTTTCTTCAACTTCTTAAAAATAAACATTGGACGTTATGAAGACTTTCACCAAGCTAAAGGTATTCATTATTCTCTGTTTTGTTGTCAAGAACAAAGTGAGCAAGCCTTGGCTGGCAAGATGAGTCCTTGTAGCCTGTTTAAGTAGCCAACCAGAACCGCTGCATCTCACTTGCGAAGCAGCGCAAGTAAATACCTTCCCTTTTCACGAACAAACAGATCACTTTTCAAAAGAGTTCAAAGCATTATGCCGGCAAGGCTAACTTCGTCATGAAGAGGAAAAGTCGTTTTTTTTTTTTTGTCGTTTGGTGCCGATTGCATTCAAAGGGATTGAGACAGATAAGAAATATGACAGTTAACCTTTCATTCCCAGGCAGCTAAAGAATAAACATCTTCTAACAATATCAACACGTACACGTAGAAAGTTTTGGAGAGGCGACAAAAATATCAACTATGGAATATGTTGTATTGATGAAGAACTGATTTCTCAGAGCTATAAAATTGCATGTACAAGAAATGGAAGGTTAACAATGAGGAGATTTGTCTTTTAAATCTTGGGGGTGAAAGGATGAAAGAGGGTAGACTCCTCAATTTCCTTGGGTGTTAGTTCCCATGGGTCTTAGCGTTCTGTTCGCGCCTTTCCCTTCAAGGCTATTATTTTACTTATTCCTTGATATCCCGTATATAGTATTCCTCCAATTCTTGTCCAGTGCAGATTAAAATCCTTATAAGGATAAGAACGTGAAGATTTTAGGGGCAAAGATACATAGCATTTACATGAAATGCTTTTCGAGTGTGATGCATTTGGATGATGGTATGCGTAAGGTCTCGGATCGATTCAGCGTGGGAGAACACAAAAATTCCCTCCGCTTCACGCCCGTGACAAAAACAATAACATATTTCTTCACACATTAAGATTATGCTTTTTATTTCTTTCCATAGCTTGGATTGGCGCCATGGCCATGGGTTTAAACTTCTTTTTTGGTCCTATATCAAGTGCGTTGTGTGATCGTTTTGGATGCCTCGTTGTGTCCTTCGCTGGCGCGTTACTATCGATCTCAGGGTTGTTCCTAACTTCCTTCATACAGAAAGTTCATATAATGTATGTTACCTACGGGCTTGTATGGGGAGTAGGTTCTAGTTTCTCCTTTGTGTCGTCTATCGTTGTCCTGGGTCAATACTTTGATAGAAGATTGGCGCTTGCCAATGGGATTGCAACATCCGGAAGTGGGGTAGGCTCTCTTGTTGCCGGGCCGGTCATAAATTACCTATTGGCATCAGTCGGATGGAAACGCTCCATGCGCATTTTGAGCGCGTTTGCTGGACTGTTATGTATTGCAGCTATGATCTTTATACCAAGGAAAAATCTTCAATCTACCAGGGAAAGAAGAGAATGTACCAAGTTATTTGATACTTCAATATGGAAGAGTAAAGCGTATGTTTTGTGGGTCACTACTGTAGCTGTGTTTCAATTTAGTTATCTCATTCCATTTATTCACCTGGTAAGTTGTATATGTATTTGTTTAATACTCAACAAAACTTCTCATCCCTGATGATTGGTCAGCGACAAATGCATAAATAGGTTATAGACTGCCGTTCGGGATCTCGTAAGAAAATCATCGTTTAAAGATAAGTTAGGTGGATAATTTTTAAAGCTGATGTTAAAAGCGTAGACCTTATGAAGAATTAAGGGCCACCACTCGAAACTCCAGCCTTTGAGGCTCTTTTCGGTGGACAGTTTTCATTATCAACCCAGTTGAGTTAACCAAATTATTTTAAAATGCCCTCCACCGACGCGGCAGCAGAGTTTTTTGTAGAATCTTATCACCTTTATTCGTCTCGTTATTATCTGCAGGTGAAGTATGCCGAAGATTTAGGAGTACCAAAATCTAAAGGCGCTTGGCTGATTGGTTTTCTATCCATCACCTCAACGCTTGGTCGAGTGGTATTTGGCAAGATTTCCGACCTTAAATTCGTCAACAGACTCTACCTGTACCAATTTTCGATATTTTCCATTGGATTGAGCACTCTCCTGTGTCCTCTGGTCAAAAACTATGCAGGACTTGTGGGTTATGCTCTGACATTTGGATTTTTTGATGGCTGTTATGTGGGCCAAGTGGCGGTGATTACGGCTGATGTGGTCGGACACGATAAGCTTTCTCAAGCAGTGGGAAACATGTTTGGAACTCTGGCGATACCACTGAGTCTTGGACCTCTGCTTGCAGGTGATCAGCTGTGTAAAAGATAGTGAAATTTTCAAACAAATGTCGAGTGTAATCCGGGATTGCTCTTATAGGGTCCGTAATTGATCTAGAGAATTCGCTCCACCCTCTCAGTTAATTAGATGCAAAGCAAACCGAGTTCTTTATCTTTGTTTCTGTTGCTAAGACTGATTCGATACAGCCGTTCAAATGAAAAGGGTCGAGACTAACCCGACGTTTGCACTTTGTTTTCAGGTTGGCTGCATGAAGCATTCGGTTCCTATGATGAAGCATTTTACATTGCCGGTTCTGTGGCATTATTTTCTTCTCTCTTAATTTTTGGGGTGAACTACATGATTCGAAAGCAGTCTATAGCAGGAAGGCAATTGGGATTTAAAAACGACTATTCGTTGGGTGTCTCTGAAGCCGAAACGGCACCTGACTCCGTCCGTTTAGAAAGATACAGAATCACAGCCAATGCTGGAAGAGAAGCACATTGTCACCAATAAACTTTGCAAGCTTCTCTGCGCTTTAAGAACAAGCAAGGAACTTCTTGTGGTTGAGAGAGAAACTGTTTTATAATATTTTTAATGATTCTTAGATTACTGATAGGGTAATTTTCAACTAAGTGTAGAAACTTTTTTAGGATTGCTTTGGTTTCGCTTTACTCCGCCGTATCCTTGGTCTATAGAACTCGGCCTCTTTTCCAATCAATCAGATGCAGAACCTAAACCAGCAGCACTTTTGTCACTTGCGTTTTCCCCCTGCTTCAATTGCTCTTTTTTTTCGTCTGTTTGCTGGTTTTTATTTTGAGTTTGCATTTGCTCTTTGTGATATTTTACCTGGCTCTAATTGGTTGTTGTAATTAGTTTGAATTGGCTTATGACACTCTTTAAATGCTCTTTACAACAAACGGCGTTCATGACTGAAGAAATGCGACTGATTGTCATGCTAAGAGACTGCATTCATCGAACAAAGGCTCCAATCCCTGCAGATACAAAAACGGCGGGTCTGTAAAATGCCATTATTATTACTGCTACCATCATCATCGTCATTACTATTATCATTATCTTTATCTTTATCTTTATCATTATCTTCATCGTTATCATTATCTTTATCATCATCTTTATCATTATTATTATCATCATCATTATCATTATCCTTATCTTTATCATTGTCTTTATCATCATCTTTATCTTTGTTATTATCATTATCATTATCTTTATCATTATCTTCATCATTATCATCATTATCATCATCTTTATCATCTTTATCATTATTATCATTATCATTATCTTTTTCTTTATCTTTATCTTTATCAATATCATTATCAATATCATTATCATTATTATTATCATTGTCACGAAGCCAGGAGACGATTCTTGTTTTCCTTTTTAAACACTTTATTATTTATCTTAAACTTCTGAAAATCTTACGATCTCGAACCTTATTTATAGTAGCCGATTACATCATACTTATTTCTGAAACATCATTTTTAGCAGGAAGAACATTCTAGACGCTAGTGATGACATATCCTTAAAATAACTCATTAGAATGTTCCGGAATATGGAGAAGTTTCTTGCTCAGCTTATGCAATAGCGTTGAGGTAAATCAATGTTCTATTTATTTCTGGAGACTTCGTTACAATCATCAATAGATTGATGGAGCTTAGCGGGCTTTTAATCGAGACTGCCATCCGAAGAATTTAACGTCATTTCGCTTAATCAAGCAGGTTTAACTGCTTTTTCAAGATAACCATCCCACGAATGTGGATTCATATCAATGAATGATATAACGTGAAAAAATTCACGAAGTCCAAAATATGGCTTAAGATCATAATATCCTGTTATTAAGAAATTACAGCTTGTGAATGTTCATATATCTAAAATCAAAATTACAGTTTGTACAATATTTCATAGAATGCCTCTTTACTCAAGTATTGAGTAATTACTCTATTAGGATTTAAAAGAATTAAAATAAAAAGAAAGAGGCAACTGAAGGCTATTTAAACTAGACTCTGTGAGTAGGGTAACTGGGATGCCTGGATGTTACTGGATCCTTGGGATCAAGTGTGGTGATACTACGGGTGTCGGACTAGTATACTGAAATAGTGAGCTCAAGTCTGGCCAAGGGCATACACCTATTTCGAAAAAGGTTGTCATCAGGCGACAGGCGATTGGTCATTCCAAGACAGAAAGAAATCATGGGTATACAACTAAACACAAATAATCGAGGCCTATAAAATGGTTTTGTGTACTACAAACAACTTGGAATATCTCAACATTAATCTCCGTGTTCTTGCTGACAAGAATAAGAAGCAGAAACACGTTATTCTAGGTATTCCCGGATCTTGGATTGACCTTTTTTCTATCATCTATGAGAACCTTTTTTAAAATAGGTAAGCCTATAGGTAAGCCTATATAAGCTCTATGTGAAATGACACAAATGTATTGATAAATATCCCTTTTAAGAGGTACATAAAGAAGGGCTTGAGTCCTTCTCTCAAATGGCATACTATTTTTGTCTGTGTTCACGTGAACAAAGTATTTTATACTAAGGAGCTTAATGATTTGGTCTGAATCATGTCTTTCAACTGTATTTAAAAGTTAAACAACAATTTATTGGATATTGGTGTTGAAATCAAGCATTTCCAATACATTTGTTAGTTAAACATAACTAACAGTAAAAATTTAACAATAATACTTGGATTTTTTATTTTTTCCTGTGGTTGTCACTACCAATGGATGACTATTATTTTATAGTAAGGAACTTAATGATTTGGTCTGAATCATTTCTTTCAACTGTATTTTACATACAGCTTGACATGGGACTTGCCCTTTCAAAACTTTTGTGTGCAAGGTTTTACAAATGTACTGTTTTTCATCAAATGACTTAATGTCAGTAAATAGTTCTTGCCGAATGTTGTACATTTCTTTTTTTAAATAGATAACAGTTTTCTGTATAGTATTCTGTTACAAACAGAGCAAATATAATATGGAACTTCTCCAATCTTATTTTAAAAAGCTGTGATCTTATGATCTAAATCATGTTGAACTGAGTTTTTATGAACTTCCTTATTAGCTTGGACTTGTGATATAATCTTATCTTTGCCTGCAGGATCTAGTATTTTATACCATTCTGCTCTACCAGGCAAAAGTTTTTCTTTTTCTTCAGGATTCAATGACTTATACCATTCTGCTCTTTTCTGTTTTTGTGCAGAATTGAGTGAGTTAAACCATTCTGCTCTCTTTTTTTTTGTGTAGTATCCAGTGATTTAAACCAAATTGCTCTGTTAGACAGAAGATTTTGTTTTTCTGCAGAACCAATTGATTTATACCAATCTGCTGAGCTTTTCTTTTTCTTCGGAATCCAGTGATTTATCCCATTCAGCTCTGTGAGATAAAAGCTTTTCTTTTTCTGCAGGATCCAGTGACTTGTACCATATTGCTTTATCAGACAAAACTTTTTTTTTCATGGCAGGTTCCATTTGTGCAAAGCTTTCTTTTTTCCTTTTTACATGTAGTTCTTTCTGACTACGAGACTTATGTTTTGCCAATATCCACTTATGACTGAATAAGAAAATCTATTTCATTCATTTTTTTCACATATATCAAGTGTGCCATTAGGAAGAGTACTTAACACTTTTTGCTTTTGTTTTCATATTATGGTGCTGAAAAATACAGCTGAAGCAATAATTTGAAATCCACATCAAACACCCAGCATTATCCCTAGTATTATCTGTGATTAACTTCTGAAGCAATAATTTGCTACTAAGAGATGTACAGCATAGTATTCCTTGTTTCTCCAAATTTGAGGCAATATTAATATCTGCGTCACATATTTGAAGTGTCCTTGGGAAATTGTTAATAGTCAGTGGATGGTTATCACCATTGAGTTTTTCTTTGTAAAACTTGTTTGCATGGTCAGTGATTCTATCTAGAGCCTGTGAATTCCAATACCCACAATATTTGATAATGGAAAAACAAATGCTATAAAAAGATGTGGCACAACAGCATAACAAGGGAATACGAATAGTTGTAATTTCAGCATCTGCATGATTTGCTTCGAGGGGGACAGATGACAACTGTTGATCAGAAATATCTGTCATGTCACATTGTTTTTCATTAATATGTACTCCTTTGAGTTTAAATAAAACATTTGGATTTTGATAAAGACCTTGAAAATGGTTAATCAGCTCATTTAAGGTGTAACTTATAACAGTACATAAGTTCCTTGAGGATGGGGCATGTATGAATCTCTACAATGAGAATCAAATATCTTAAACTTACCATCACCATTACAGTAAAAACCTACTGTAGTACTAAGGATTGTTGAAAGAAAAGAATTATAATTTTGTCCTAGCAAAGCCTGCATAGCAAAAGCAAATGATGTACAATAATTGAAATCTTGTACTTCACAAGTACCATGTATAGTACCAGTATAGCTTGGACTACATTGAAGCTGGTAATTAATATTAAACACCATTATCATTTCACATACTTCTGTTAACAGTAAATAGGATTGCCTGGATAGACCAGAATACAATTCATTACCAATGTTCATGATATTAACCAAGTCCATTGAGGATACAATACCCTTCCTCTTGTTGTATATGAGGGAAGCAAGTGACATGGCTACACACTGTGTACCAGCATTTAACCCAAACATTGCCTTGACTGTAAGGAGCTTGAATTGTCTTAATAGAATTAATAACAGGACCAGGGTTTTTTCCTATATCCCCAGACAGATTGGACTTAAAATGATTTACCCTGTGATTCAGATTTTTATAAACATTTGGCACTGAATTAGACCTTCATGCATTCAAATGCTATGGCTGTGGACTTTTTATTGCATGTGGATATTGGTTTTGCATTTCCAGCATCCTGTATTTGTTAGACTTTCGATATTTCCTCTTGACTGAAGAAGAGGGATATTTCGTTCTTCCTTTATTCTCACAGCTGACTCCATGTGCATATATTTTTTCGCGAGCTTTATTTGTAAAAAGATGCATTCGGGAAGACTTCGGTATGCTTTTTCTGATGTAGGTTCAAAGTAAACGTCTTACTTTCCTGGATTTCTTCAAAATACGTGTACTTCTTTTCTTTGGTATTCTGCTGGGCTTACGAACACGAACACGAATACCATGCGTACGAGGACGATTAAAATAAACAAAGTTGTCGTATCGAGATCTACAGTTACAGACCGTATTTATTGAAAATGCTTCATCGTTGCTATCATTAAGCTTATTATCATATACAATAACAGATAACTGTGCAGCTTTCTCAAATACGTTACATTCATCGAAGCTATTCACGGCAGCTTTTGTTGAAGACATCAAAAACTTTACGTAGAAATTAGCCCACAAGACAATTGCGTAGACAATAGATAATTTTACGCAAAAAACAGGATTTTGGATCATGTATTTATTAAAAAGAATATCCATACCACTGCAATGAAAACAAACATAAGATTCACCTTTCTGATCGTGAAATTAATACCATTCGTACAGTTATCGTAGCTTCGTTCCTTAGCATCAAGTGAATCCAACACAGAGTCTTTCTTCACAAGCAGTTTGCACCATTAGAGTTTTGTTCTTCAGTCTCACGGTAGTAGTGTTGTTCAGTAGATTGCATAGAGTATATGCAGTTTGGTTTCAGATTTAAGAATTTGATTTTTTCAACAAGTGTGCGTTTTACAACTAAGACATTGGCATACTTGGCATCCAAGGCATACAAGGCTTTCATGGTTTTAAGCGTTCGCGACTCAATCCGTTTCAAAAATACCGCTCAATAACATCTTTTAGTGTGGATTGGCTGCGAACAATACGACCTGTGTATGCGTCTGCAAGTATTTTGAGCGTTTGCACCATAAAGCTCCAGGTAATCGTAACCCAAAATCGTAGAACCCCCATCGCCAAAACAACAACCCCAGAGCAAATACATATGAGCCGGCCCTGTCCGTGCATGACAACGTCAGTCATCATCAATATAAGCACGTGATCAGCATGTGAACACCTTCACCCTCATTGGATCACAGGTAGTTGTCATGGTATTGAGGGCCCAATGACCACTGGGTACTAGTGCGCAATTTGTCCAATTTGTGGTGGAGGAAAAAAAAAAGACGAAAAAAAAACAAAAGCTGTAATAAAACAGGGCGAAGCTCAAACTTGCGTAAGTCTGAAGTCTGTCAACGGTGTAAAATACTGTATAACTGAAGGGGACAACTTAAGGAAAGGAAGGGGGAGGGGGCAGGGGGTAAATTACTCCAAACTGAGATAAGTCACGTCAAAGAATACAATAATCGTGACAGGATTACGAAGTGCCAATTACGACTGAGCCGTGCGTGACAAGTCTTGCGTGATAAGTACAGTAGAATCTTAACATGAACTGCACTAAACCGTTACAGCAGGTGGCCTGACTCAGGGAAAAAAAGACTATTACTATTTCAGCTGTCATATCAAACCTCAGATGCCTGTCTTTTGTCTTAGTAACGTGAGAGTAATATTTCTAAAATTAATATGACGAAACCGAGGAAGTGTTTAAAAAATCGAAAGAGGAAGGTAAACAAATGAAATTGAAGAGGTTAAACAGCAAATGAAACTGCAAATTATACATACTTTCAGCAAAAAAATTAAAATTATGCCCGACTTTCAGCGAATCATAGGCCGCACTGAATTTGGTGCATGGACGCACAATTGACATAATAATGCAAACTGCCCACGGACTGTTGAAGAAAACGATATTAGTGGCAGGTTCGTGAACACAATAAATTCTCTTCAGCTCTCCTTGGTCGGAAAAAAAAATGGAATTAAAAATAAACACAAAAACAAATGTGAAAATTGATATTTTCCTCTTCTGATGAAAAATGGCTTTCATTACATTTTTTGATTAATTCGTGTTTACTTAAAAACTTGCTTGACAACGAAATGTTGTTGACACATTTGCATTTCTTAAGCCTATACGTTTATAAGGCTTAAACAGTCGGGTTAACGCTCTGGCAATGCAAGTTAATGTCGTCCATCGTGTCTTAGAGGGAAAGAGCATGTCGTGTGTCGCTTATCTGCCTGACATGTGACCGTTTGCAAGAGGTTTTAGCCTGACGAAAAAAGCAAAATTTTCGGTTAACTCAGTTTCGACGCAGTTATACAAACTTGAGCGATAATCTGGGCCGGTCTGCTTGAACGATAATCTGGGTTGTTCTGGGGTCTTGTAAGGCAAGAATTCGAATTTCTCTCAGCAAGAAGACTTGTGGTTTTAAAGATTCTACAAATCGCCAAACTGGGTTGTTCGTCGTCGAACGCTGCGCAACCAGTGGCAGACAGCACCAAACAAACACGTGATGACGAAAACGACAACAGCCAAGCCGCCATGACTGCTCCGAAGATAAACTTCCCGGCGGAAAATTCGCCTCAACGGGCGAAATCATCGGGCTCGTTAAACATCAGAGCCAAAGTTGTACCATTAAAGCCGGGGAGGAGCTTAATGGACTGGATCAGGCTTGGGAAAAGTGGACAAGACTTAGCTGGAACCGGCGGACGTGTGCAAGTTGTCACCGAGGAGGAATTGAGCAAACATAATAAAGAGCAAGATGCGTGGATCAGTATCAGAGGTAAAAGGTTTGGTTATTTACCTTTTTTCTACCCCATAGCTTTTTAAAATTCTTACAGACATGTAAATAGCTTTGAGAGAGGTAACAACCTCAACAATCTCACATCAAGAAGGCGAATTCGAAATATTTTTCTTCGTGTTTAAATATGAGTAATTGTTTATTTCTGTTTATTTTCACCAAAGAAATCGCGATTGTGCGGCCTCAAAAGGTTTTTTTAAGTTCGGTCTGTGTCACAATCCGGATATGTAGATCTTGTCTCAAACAAAGTCGATTCTAGTTAATGGGTTACCGACGACTGTAGTTCAACAATCGAGTGGTATTGTGACATGTCATTTACATGAAAAAAAACCGTCTTCCTTAAGGTTATTGACAGTATCTAATGTCTTCTTTTGTTGTGATTTCAAAGGCAATTATTCACTCAGCTATTAAGAATAATCTGTAGATTTGTTGTTTATCTTTTCCATGTAAAACCCATTTCGTGATCACTGAAATCACATTTTCATTATTTGAAGCATTTCCTTCATTAAAAAACATGATAAGAAGACATCTTAATGGATTTTGAAATTTTAAGAAGGCAGCAAATGACACTGCATTTAAAATACCAATCAGTGTCTTAAAATATATTCTGGTTTTATGAACTGAGTTGCTAATGAAAACTGGCCACTGTAGGGAGTTTCAAAAGCTGACATTTGAAGCATTAGCCGTTCTTCAGTGAGAGACAATCTTTTGCTCTGACAAAGGGCTTCCAACACATGACATGTCAACTTTAGAAACTCTATGGTGGTCAATTTACATCATTAACTCAGTTCATAAAACCAAATTATCTTAAAATACCCCCTACCAATGCAGCTCCTCTGTTTCTTTTGAAACTAACCCCCTTTATTCAGTGCTATTGATCCGTAAATCTGTTCTTGATCCTTTGTGTCTAAAATAATGATGATGATCTAGCAGTCAACAATCCACTCAGTGGCTCTTCTTGTCCACTGTTTCCGAGTCAATGTGGAATTTTGAATGTTGTCTAGAGATGTGTTAGACAGTAACAGAGGGCAATAACAGCTGTGTTATAATTGTAAAACACATTTTCGTGGAATGCCTTTAATCATGCATCAAGTGACTCCTTTGTGTAATTCATGCTCTTCCACTTCTTGTATGCTTTATATCTCAATGAATGTACCTTGCCACATGATTCAACTGTATAGTAGTGTCTTGCTAGAGACTTCGACACAAGATACTACATTTTACAATTCACACAGACAAGCTTCTTGTAATTGGTACTAATAGTCAGTTAAATGTTTCAGTCAATAACATGATTTATCATGATAAGGAAGATGTTCAATTTCTCATCCTGTATGAATCTAATAATGGCCTTACTCACCTTAGCACCTCACCCATGGAGCCTCACAAGGCAGAATCGGAAGATCTGAGGCTTGATTTCATATAAGAACTCAAAATTTTCTTTGCCCTACCCTTATGACCAGTAAAAAATATATATATCTTTCTATTTTTTTGATTTATGACTTACAAACTTTGAATGTTTTTTTATTTTTTACATAATACAGGTAGAGTGTATAATATGACTCCTTATTTAGAATACCATCCAGGAGGAATTCCAGAGATCATGAGAGGGGTTGGAAGAGATGCAACTGACTTATTTGATGAGGTGAATACCCTTTACTCTGCTTTCTCCCCCCCCCCCCATCCTGAATGTCCTCTGTTCCTAAATGGAATCTGCAGAACAGTATGCACACCATAATGTGTGAAGCTTGTTATTTCTTTGACCCCTAAGATTGACTGGTATCTACATTATAATTTCACCTTTTAATATTATCCCTGAATCACACACTAAGTTCATGAGAATAAAGAAAATGATCACCAACTAAAAACCTCTTGATTGTTAAACAAATTCTCTGTGTCAACAGGGTAAGAGATTTGTAGTGAACATTAGGGAGAACATACATACTGAATCAGTGATGTTAGGGTGTAGAGGGTAGATGGTGAACAGAGAGTTCAAATACCACAAAAGATCCTTATTGGGGCAGATTTTATACTCGTGGGTTAAATTCAACTGATTGAAGCTGTTACTGCCTTTACTTATAAGTGCTGCTATTTACTCAAGCAAAAATGTTTGCTAAGTATCAATTTTATCCTCTCCTCGTCATGTGTTTAAGTTATTCATCTTTCCTCTTTTCAGACACATAAATGGGTGAATGCTGAATCCATGTTAGAAAAATGTTTCATAGGCCCTTTACAGAGAAGCAATGTGGTTAAAAAGACAAAACCTTCCAGAACAGGTACATGTCACATGTCACAGCTGAGAGTTGCAGACTTCTTTGAGGATACAGTCTGGTACAGCAACATGAGCAGGGGCAAAAGCATGGCAATATCAAATTCTCCAAGCTATTACAAACATTGTAAAGCAGACATTATGGAGAATTACTGATAAGATCTCGGGATTGAAGGGTTGAAAAAGCTTATGATGCCATTGCCTACAGTATATTTTACTCAATCATGGATTACTTGTTTGGTCAAGCTGCAGAGACCTATTATATTTTAAAGAAAGAATTACAGCTCTTCAGGAAATTACGTACGCTTTCCGTATTTAATATTACAATTTTAATAAATGTCTAATTTCTACTTTGTTGCTTCATAAGGATCAGGAAACTCCCTCAATGTCTCATCAGGATCACTGCGGTCTCACAATAGTTTGTTTGTTCCAAGTGCTCAAGGTAGGCTTCTCATAAAATATTTTACACTTAGATTCTATTCCTGGTCATGTCACTGTTATTCAAAATACTCTCAGCTGATTCCCAGTAACCAAGGAAATCATTTTGAAACAAGGAAGAAATCAGAGAATGGAAAAAACACAGGTCTGAATAAATCCTGTTGAAATCAAAATCGGCTCAAGTTCACCTGAGATTTAAGTTGTCAATAATGCTATTTCGTCTAACAGGGATGTAACTATAATCATAGAGTCCCTCTGGTTCTTCCTCACCTGCAGTAGGGAGTATATATATTTATTAAGTGTGACTGACGCCGTGCAAGCCAACTACTAGTTTGATTGTTACCTGTCCATGTATCTTTGAGAGCAAAACAATTCCAGATCTACTCTCTTTTTTAATGACTGGTTTATTTCAAATTGATATTTTTTTTTTAGTTGATGGTTTCACTGTTCCTGTTCCCCCACAGAAGTCACAAGATCCTCGGTAAGACTCAAAGTAATATAATGTGCCTGAGCTAAGTTTTCTTTTGACTTGAGGGCAAGAAACTTTATCCTAAGAACACTGCAATTTTGTAGAGAATCAGATCATAAGCAAAGATTTCCAGAAATGTTGCAAAAATTTGGGTAGATGTGTCAGTCATTTTCAAATATATGCAAAAACCTGCCACTCAAGGCTGTGATAGCTTGAATTTTCTGCTAAGCTTGAGGTAGTAGTGGTCAACAGGAGTTGACATGACATTGCAGTTTTCACACTGTGCGTAACTTGTTTTCTCCTTTTTTGTTTGTTGCAGCTATGATTGGTATCAAAATGATAAAATAGTGACAATATCAGTTTTTACAAGAAAAAAGGTTTGTTTTGATATATTGTTAAATTTTTCATGAAACAAATGTAATAACTAATTTTTATTTTGTTTTTATTTTGTAAGATACTTCTTGATAATTGCAATGAAATTAATAATTGTTTGAAGTGAAGCTTACAAGTTTTCAAGTGTTACATGTACACCTATTTTAAGCATGGCAGAGGGGCTTTCTTCCTAAATACACATTTTAAACTACTTTGCATCAGATAAACTTTTGGATTCCTAAATCCTTATAATTACAGTTTATGTTTACCCAACTTAAACAATATACATGTGTCTCATAGGAAGTTCAAGTTGAAGACATCATATTAGAGCTGAAAGATGGAAAAGAGTTTGATGCAGTATTCATTTTAGGAGAAAAAAGTTTTCGAATTCACTTAGGTTAGTTTATTGTTCATTGTGGACTGTATAATTACCGTGTGAATTCTAAACCTTTTTTACCTTTCCCATAAAGCTTACTTGCCCCATCATAAACTAAATATGTTTATGAACCCCTCAGATTTAGTTACCTTTGGTCTGTTTCATTAAGGGAAAAATAATTGACATGTATCTTATCTCTTCCCGCAGCGCTCAGCAATCTTATATCCCATCAACAAGGTATGCAGTTTATCACAAAGTTTTGTTAAATTTTTAATGTACTGTGTATTATATCTTAATATAGCATTAGGTTAGATTACTAAATGTGGATAAAGAGGTTAGTTTCCTTAGAAACTGTGGTGGTACGTCTGTGGGGGGTTTTGCTAAATAATTTGGTTTTATCAGCTTAGGTGATCATTAAAATAGGCCACTGTAAAGAGATTTGAGATTAGAAGTGATGAAGAGCTAATGCATGAAACATCAGTTTTAAAATCTCCGTACAATGGCCAATTCACGTTATCAAGTAAGTTGATGAAACCAAGTTATCTAGTACAAATGTGGAGTAATTTAGTATTATCAACTGAGTTGATAACATAAATTGGCCACTGTAAAGAGTTTAAAAGCTGACGTTTCGAGCGTTAGCCTTTCATTGGACGCTCTGACGAAGGGCTAACGCTCGAAACGTCAGCTTTTAAACTCTTTACGGTGGCCAATTTACGTTATCAACTCTGTCGATAATAATAAATTAACTTGATATACTCTCCCACCGACGCAGCATCACAGTTTCTTTAGAAACTAAACCCCTTTAATTAATGCAAATGTAAATGTGGAGTCTAAATGTCACAATAACAAATTGGATTATAACTTTGTAAGTTGTACATACCATCCTGAGAAAACTTTTAACAACCATACATATACATAAATACCACAATGACTGTATTTTATAGACAATTTAGAAACCTGGTGATACGGAAGGTTTACTGACTGATTTCCCTTCAAACTGTTTCATTATTTGACAGTACGTATGTCTGGGGAAAGTGGCAAAGTTGATATTCTTTTGACCAAAGAAGCGGCTGGCGTGCAATGGACAGAGTTAGGGCAAGGTTTACAGGGAAATAACTCTTTCAAGCCGCACAAGGAGAGAGGTATCAAAAACAGTGAAAACGCACACATTTATTTATTGTACGCCCGAATCACAGAAAATATGCCACGGTATTACACTGTAGGAGAGTGAAAAGGTATGGATGGAAAGCGAGAACTAAAAAATGGCCACGCTGACGGATTAAATGTTTTTTTTTCCTATTTAAAGGCATGAATTTTTCAGTAACGGATTTTTTTTGTCGGCCGTAAAGCAAAGTGTAAATGAAGTTGTTGGTATTTTTCCTCGCCCTATGGGGCTAATTATGTTGAACCATAGACCATTTTTTTTTCTATATTTATATTTATCAAAAGTATTCCATTAAAATCCAGATTTTTTATGTCTCAAGCTTCTGTTTCCACATTTAGATTCCAGGTTATGGGACTGCCGAGTAATCTCAGTGGATTCAGTAACACATAACTGTAAACTGTTTTGCTGTGAGCTTCCTAAAGGCGTCATTATGAGAATACCAATTGGACATCACATACACATGACCAGAGATGTTGAAGGTTTGTTTTGGAACTATAAATAATAATTAGGCTTACTGTAGCTCAACTTTAATTATGTTCTCCTCGAAAGAGAAAACGGTTAAAGTTTGGTTAACACTAACGTTATGCTCGAGCCGTATGTTACGACCTCGAGACAAGTATTTCCCCGTCTGACCCGCCGACTGAATCAATAAGTACTTACATGTATATCTACTCCAATATCTATCCAAAGCATGGAACATCATGCTATTGGTACAAATCATTTCTATCACGGGAATGTCTCTCCTTAAACAACCCTTTCAGGTCACTGGGTAGTTTGGCATTATCAACTGAGTTGATATCGAAAATTGGCCACCGTAAAGAGTTTCAAAGCTGACATTTCGAGCGTTAGCCCTTAGTCTAACAATAACACCGAACTGCCCTGTTATATTCTCCGACGCAGTGCCACAGTTTCTTTAGAAACTTATCCCCTCCTTTCAGGTCACTGCAGGGTTCAATCTCACCCTGCCTTTGGTTCTTTTAATCCAAAAGTTTTTATTTGCTCATTCTTGGATAAATTCTCTCTTCCAAACCTGCAAACCTCTCCTATGCTTCATTTTAATTTCTGACGCCACAGGAATGCAGATCAGTCGTCCATACACAGTTGTCTTACCCTCTCTACAAGTCGATCCATCAGAGCGAGAATTTGATGGCAGACGGTTCTACCTCATGATTAAACTTTATCCTGAAGGAACGCTTACACCAACTTTAAATCCTGTCGTCGCTGGTGAGTTTCATAATTTCCAACACTCCCCGTCAGTGCTGGGTGGTTTGTTGCCTCCATGGGTTTTTAAATCTAAAACGATGTCTTTAAAACTATGGCTGACCGTTAAGGAATTTTCCCTGTTGAAGAAAATCTGTATTAATGATGAAAAACTGGTACATCTGTATGGTTCCATTATTTCCAAGTTTTTCCTGTCACACCTTGCAGTGAGGGGCGCCAACCTTTTTCAAGGTACATTAACTATTGCCAATGTTAAAGTATTTTTTATTTGATCTTGATTCATCAGCAGTCATTGCAAGAAATGTTCTTGGAGGAAGTTCAGTCTTCTAAAATTTTTTTATCGACAGCAAATTTTCCCAAATTTGTTTACAATCTTCACAATTTTGTTTCTTAGGTGACACCCTCCAAGTCACTGATTACTCTGGAGATTTTAAAGATAGTCGTCTGAACGAAGCAAAGGAAATTTTTCTTATTGCGGCTGGAACAGGTTTGTCAATGCCACCTCGTCAATGCTGATAGATCTACAGTCAGCTAGTCAGCAAGCCAGTCAGTCATTCAGTCGGTCTTTTAGCCAGTCAGTTAGTCAGCCATTCAGTCGGTCAGTCTTTCAGTCGGTCCGTCAGCCAGCCATTCAGTCGGTCGGTCTTTCAGTCGGTCCGTCAGCCAGCCAGTCAGTCGGTCAACTATTCAATCAGTCAGTCACTCACTCACTCAGTTATTTGTTAGACTGATATTTCAATTATTCAATTACTTTTTTCCACAATAATGCAAGTCTTGTCTTTGTAAACCTGGTATCAGCATTTAATGTATTTTTGGCGGATAAAAAGTCGAATTTTTATTTTTGCGCAGGCTTCACACCAATGATCCGACTAATTCGACGAACAGTGTTGGAGAATTCATCTGCTGAAAAGTAAGGAACTTGCACTGTTCTTTGCTTCTCTATTTTTTATATTATACTTTTGAAGGAGTTAAGAGTGTTTAAGTTTGATGATGTTAATACTCCTGACAACCTGCGTGAACAATAACATCCTTTTATACATGTAAATTATGGAGTTACGCCCGGCTCTGCATCTTGTGGCGTTATTTGCAGATTGAGAAAATTGTTCAGAGCTAGAAGGAAGCTTTTCAAATGCTCTACTTGGTTACTCGAAAAGTGAAAATAGCCTAGAACAAGCACTAGGCTGGTGAAACATTGAAAAGAGACTTGTAGACTCAAAGTGCTAATATATCAAGATGCATTAACAATGTTGAAAAGCTCCTTTGGTGTCTGAGATAAAAGCGAATTATGGAGAACTCCTTCATGCTAAAAAGAAAAGTTCTGACCTTCATGTGCTTTTCTTCCACAGATCTGTCAAACTCTTGTTCGCAAATCGTCAGGAAAAAGACATCTTATGGAAGCAGCAGATAGACGAACTAGCAGATAATGCCAGCCCCAGGTGAGAGGTTTTTTGTCGTGCAAGTAAACAAATATAATGCATTGTATGAGCTTAACCTCGTAAACACATGGTATCATATTACAGAAAGCGTTTCCCTGTGGCACGCGGTTAGTGCGGGCACACAGAACAATCCTCTACAATTTTCCTTCCTTTTTGATTAGTAAGCCACATGTAGCTCATCTGTGCGTTAGTTCCAGTCATTGTGAAAAGTTTCTCACTCCAATTTCTCTCACTCTCACTCTTTGTTGGATTATGTTCTGTGAAAACTGATTCATACTGGTATGCACCCTTAATTTGCATAATGAGAGGGAATCAAATTCCCCAATGATTTCACGTGATCTGTAGCGGACACAGAATTGTTAGCCTGTGGTAAGATATGGTCTGATGGAGGACATAGTTGCAGCGATGAGATGAATCGATAGGTTTGTATCCACTAACGTGAGGGCAATTTTATGTGCCAATCTATGAATGTTCAGTGTTTTTTCATTGGCTTCGGCACATAAGATATCTGTATAAATATTATTAATTGTCAAACCTAACTGATGTTTGCCACTTCTTGCAGATTTCAAGTGTTTTACACTGTAACCCAGTCCACCCCCGAGTGGGAAGGTTACGAGGGTCGTGTTTCCATGGAGATGTTGTTAGAGATCTTACCCCCTCCCCCCAGTGCAGGCACTGAACGGGAGCTATTTATAGGGGTATGTGGCCCAGACGCTTTCACACATCATATTGTCAGGTGAGCTGTTTATAAACGTCAGGAGAATGCAATTTTTTTCTGCTCAAGTAGAAATCTCGAGGCCTCCAAAAGAAAGTCGGTCTTAGTAAAAATTGGATTGAAGGAAGATCCTTGTTTTGTGCTGACTTTCCTAAAGGAGTGAAACACTCTCGTCCCTTTGTGAAACATTTTTTTCTGTTTTTATTGTGCTTAACAAATGATATTTGAGCGGCAATTTTATTAGAAGAGTGTTTTTCAAGTAATTTTCTGTTTGGTTTGGCTCTTCACTCTCGTCTTGTTGTTTCACACAATTAGAAATTAATAGCAATGTTTTAATAGTTATTATTAGTTTGGCAGTAGTCGATAACTCAGCGTATACATATGATAGAACAAGTTTTTTAGTCGATAAAAGTTACTAAAGGATCTCAGCTTTTGGCAAACCGCACTGCTTCACAAGGAGGTCTAAATGGTTGTTTATTTACTTCGTTAAATGCTGCAGTCAGTTGCAAAACTGCGAGACGGTTTTACGTTTTCACTAGTCTGTTAAGTTTGTTTCCATCTTCGCACCAAGTAGTTTAACTTTTTTAACTTATTGATTAAGTTGTTGTTGTTTGGTTGTTTTTTTTTTTATTTTAGCATGTTGAAAGATCTCAGTTACACTGGAAAGATGATTCACGCATTCCTGGCATAATATTATACTTTGTATACGTGGACACAGAATTTAATTCGTTTACACCGTGCAATACTTCACAGTTCTAATCCGTTCGCTATTCAAGTCTAATTGAATGTAATACTCATTGAGGTTTGGATTACACTGACGTGAAAATGCTCCGCTACTACTGTTCCACGTGGTATACTTATTAGATTGCCAAATATAATTGACACTGATTATCTACGAGCTCTCATAATGTTTTCTGCGAAGAGTTACCGGAAACGTTTGAGTCAGTGGGAATCATCGAGCCCTAATTGCATGAATTTGGGACAAACAAATTCACTCAACAATGGCCCGGTGCAGGAGCCAACGGCAAGCGAAAAAGCTGCAATCCCGTCGTCCCTTGTGGGCGTTGCGTGCTACTTTCGCATCCTAATTTCTCTCCGCGCTTCTAGAGCGGGGAAGTGAGTTACGCAATGAGGAGGAGGAGGGTGGTTACTGGTATTGTACTCTTAATCTCTGTTTCCTTAAGACTGTTCGTGTTTCCGCGAAATCGAGGAAACTATGCAATTTGAGGGTAACCAAAACTGATTCCCTCCGGAACAGGGATAAAATGTTTTTGTTTACTCACAGAGAATGAAAAAAGTCAACAAACAAGAAAACAAGCATTCAAAGCAGAAAAACTTTCTATTACATGAAACTCCCAAAACGGCGTTGTAAAACTTGTCTACGTAAAAATACATAGTTAAACTAAAAGCCCAAAGCTATATCTTTTTGTTTCCGTAAATTCTGTATTATAAAATTTTCAACTCCGACTGTTACATTTCTAGTGTACTGATTGGTTTATTCAACTCCGACTGTTACATTTCTAGTGTAGTGATTGGTTTATTCAACTCCGATTATCAGCTCATAATTCCGAGCCATCTGACATGAGTTAAATGAGCTGAAAAAAGTTCCAAACATCCAAACGTTCAGGATTTGATAACATTTAATAAAACAATTAATTATTTCATTCGCAATTGTTAGATACCTCCTTCGCCGTTTACCATCTCGTATTCAACGCGCGCTCGTGGAATAATTATTAATTATTCTGCCAAAAAAAAAGCGTTCATACATAGTCACATGGACAAAGTTATGTTTCTTACAATCAGATAACTTTGCTAACGTGAGCTACAAATTAGAGCAGTAGCTATAAACGTTTTCTGTCGAGCCAGGTTTTATTTCTAATAAAAATGATAGGAAAATACGCCTAATGTAAGTTCACAACAGCGTTCATCGCAACATAAATGCGGCTGGTCCAGATTTGTGACACAGGCTTGTTGCTTCCCTAACCTTGAACCATTTAACCAAAGTGTTATTCATTTTTAAAAGGTTCCTTCCGTATAGTGCCATAGAAATGTCCTAAAGGCTCAAATCAGCAAGAGCTAACTCAACAAACACTACTTAAATAGGTCCTGACCCAGGACTTTCCTCTGTATACATCGCGTAAACAATATCAGCTGTCAAAAGAGAAAATAAAACCAAAATTTCATCCGCTCGATTCCCAGCATATGTGTTTCGACAATTCACTCAGCACAAAGAGAGAAACTTACAAAGTGACTTGGGGACTGAAAATTACTGATGTGTTCATAAAAAATAATCAGAAAATAATCTCAACTCGCTTTGTGCTAAGTTATGGAATAACTACATCATTATCTTATAATATCCAATCAGTTCTACGAAAGCTAGTAGTCCTTGACATAGGGTCTAGGAATGCCATACAACCTTGCAAAAGCCCTCTACAGAAAATGAAAAAAGTTGTATAATCATAAAGAAGTACAAAGTAATATGAGGAACCTAATACAGCTCAATCTTGTGTGTTCTTGTTTACCTGTACATGACCTGACACAAAAGTTTTTATAGGTCCAGAGTGACGTCATCTCCAATCAGAACAAATGGGGCCCATTCCCTCACTGTGTACCTTTTCGTCTCGGATTCTCTCATCCACTTCATGGTCTGGTGAAGAGCTTCACTAGCACTCATTTTATCACGCTTCAGATGTCCGTAGAAACGAATCATGAACTGCTTTGTGGCTTTGTCATCCACGGCCCACAGGGAAACCAGCACTGATCGAGCTCCTGAGGCAATGAAGGCGCGAGCGATCCCTACAACTCCCTCGGCTCTCATGATCTTTCCTTTAGCACTGTGACAACAGCTGAGAACAACAAGTTTGGCCCGGATCCGAACCTTGGCGACGTCTCCCATGGTCAACATGTAGTCCTCCTTCGTTGGGTTTTGAGGGGAGGATGGGTTGGGTGCACAAGCAATCTCTCCTCTTTCCGCGTCACCATGGGCGGCGATGTGTACTAGACACACATCAGTTATTCGTCGCAGCACTTCTTCCTTCGTGGCTTGCTCACCCAACAAAGGCTCCACCTCCAGAAGATCAGCGATTTCTTTAGCCTCCTGCCTCGCTGCTTTCAACTGCGAAAGTGGTGTAACATGATTGATCTGTGGATCACCGACGATCAGTACCCCAGTCTCACTGTGATAATCTGGTGGAGAGTCAAGGATAAGCTTGAGTGTTGTCAACGAGGGAATGATGCGGATTTTGCATGTATTAGACAGGTACTTTCCAGAATCATCCTGGAGTGCTGCATAGGGAACCATAAGCAAATTTGGCGCAGGGACGAGCACAAGCTCTCGGTTTTCGATACGATCTGCGATTGGAGCGATCAATGTTTTGTACCACCGATTCTCAATATTTGCCGAGTGTTCAGCGTCCAACTCAAGAAGCCGTTCTACCGTATTAGTTGTATAGTCCACACTTTCTTCATTCTCAGACTTGAGGTCACAGTCGTATAATTCAGATAACGAACGGTCTTCTACCTCAGTTTCTCGTTCATTGGCAAAGGATTTGATATCATCTCGTGGCTTAGCTTTCAGAAGATCAAGCAGAGTTGTTGAGGACTTTAATTGTTCCAGCTTTCCATTGTTATCACCTGATATGATCCAATAATTGAATTCGACCAAAAGAAGCGCTATGAATACTATAATTTGTTCCTTCTTCAGTCGTTCCACTAAACCAACCAAAGCTTCTTCATTTACTGGTTTGACTTGTCCTTCAATTGAATATCTCTTTGTTAACAATTCTCTCAGGACACGAGCACGGCCCTGCTCTGCAGCAATTAAAGAATCGAGATCCCTACCAAGATCAAGGAGTAAAGAGGACTGAAACTCGTACACAGAGACGAAGAAAATATCTGTCTTACTTCCGAAAGATACTTTGTGCTCATCACTTAGTGGTTCCAGTTCGCTTTCAAAGTACTCTATGCTTTCTAATGAAATGTTGTAGGCCTGCTCTGTAAATCCTTCTGCAGCATAGCCAACAGCTGCACGCATTAGAGCCCACGATCTAGGCATCTTTCTGAATCCTGAGTCCTTGATTGTTTGAATTGCTCGCTCTCTGTATTCCGTTGCCCTATCACAGTGGCCCAGGGAAAGGTGTACATCAGCCAGCCAAAGACAGGCCTGCTCATAAGTATCTCTGTCTCCTGACGAATAACTTAGTTCAGTGGCTTTTTCTAGGTAGGGGAGTGCTTCATCAAATTGTTGAAGGGCTGCAAGAACTCCGCCTAAACCCAAACAAGTACTTCCTTCGCCCTTACTATCATTCGCCTGTCTACTGATTTGAAGTGATTTTTCTAAGAACTCGAAAAACTTACCACTTTGATCAGTGGGATCAGCATTCATTCCCATAAGAGCCAATACTAGTGCTCTTCCACAAGCGTCATCGATTTCATCCCAGATTTTGAGTGCTTTTTCTAAAATAAGCTTCTCTTTCTCGATCTCCCCCAGACAACGAAACACTTTACTAAGGTCGATTGAAGCTGCAGCCTCCAAGTATTTGTATCCTTTGCCTCTGCTCCGATTGATTGATTTCAGATAGCAATCGCGTGCTTCTTCAGACTGACCTAGGGCTTGATACACCCTTCCGAGGTACCAATAGGTTTTCGCTTCTCTTTCGATATTTCCAATCGCCGCATTTATCTGAAGTGCTTTTTTAAAATGTTTGATTGACTTGTCGCATCGGCCAAGAACTTGGTAAGCACAACCAATATTGAAGGAGCATATCCCCGCGGAGATTTTGTCGTTTAACTTTTCACTTGCTCTAAGGCCAAGTTTGAAAGTCGATTTTGCTTCATGAAAAGAATCTACTTGGATGTACGCAGGACCAAGGGAAAGGTAGATCAATAGTCTGAGGCCCACCATTTTTGATGACGATACGTTTTCGAAAAATTCGATCAGAGTCAGCATTTCTTTGCAAAGTTGTATGGCAACATAGAAACGGTTGGTCTGTAAAAAGAAATCGGCTACACATGAAGCTATATCCGCAACCAAATTGAACGAAATCCGCTTGACCATGATTTAACACAGAATCTGCAATGGCCAAAAACATACTGTTAATACTGCTATAGAGTGTCAAATAGTTGAGATAATCACAATAGTTACAACAAGTAAACAGTATTTGCCGCTGTCCTCGTTGAAACATTTTGACAGGTCATGATCTCCAGGTGTTGATCCTTGATGCTCGCTGATGTAAGAAATCCCAGTTTCACAGGGAATCCTGTAAACCACGCCATCTTTTTCAGGTGCTCATCTAGCTCTACTCCTCGGAACTAACAGGTAAGGAATGGAAGTTTGTTATCGCCTTGTGTCTATGCTGAAGAGCATGGAAAGTTTCTGGTTTTATGGATGCTGTCAGAGGCCATCGTCATTTCTGAGACCCACGATGGTGAAGGTGCTCTATGTAAATGTATAGTGAGTTCGGAAACTCTCCATTTAGAGGTTAGCTATAGCAGCAGACGCCGGCCACATCGCATGCTGCCTGTTCACTCATCTAAAATTTTCATGGTTCACAAACCTTCCTGCAAATGCAGGAAAGCATGCATAGGAGAGAGCGAAAAAGCCACAAGGCAAAGTTAAGGAGAATAACAAACGATTCCAGCTCGTTCTCGACCAGAACTCCGCCGTTTCCACAGAGCAAGCGCGTAACGCCTGAAACCGTTTGCACTGAAAGGAGGAAAAGTTTTAGTGAACGCCACATGTAGTACCGGGAGAATGATTCACACAGACTTCACAGCGAAAACAGCAAAGAGCAAACTTTGTTGATCAAAGCTTCAGCAATCAAATCAATTCCAGCAGAGTATCATTTCTCATAAAGTGAGGTTGTCCAGAAGATTCTCGGCAACGTTTGGGCTCCTATCTCACGCCAAACACTTTTACCTATGGAGCAACTTCAATTCTAAAATAATTTCAAAATAAAAGAAGCTAAAAAGACTTACCAAGGACGAAACTTTGCGTTTTTTGCTTCTTCGGTCACTTTAAATCGGCTGTTGAATTATAAGGAACATAGTATGAACCGAACAGCACTGATTTGGGGCTCTTCTTTGGTGCTGACATCTTAAATAGACAAATTATAGAGTTTATCAAAGCCATCCCATAAGTTAAAAAAATGACTTAAGTGCGACAAAGACAAATTGAATGGTAAACTTTGGTCAAATATTAGAGGGTGACTAACTTTTAAAAGACCAGACAGACTTTTCCCAGTATGAAACTATCTCATGGAATTAAATAGGAATAGATGGGTTTCGGGTTTTAATGTGCCAAGTGTGAGATCTCTTTGGATAGTTAGTTTCTAAGTGAAGATGACAAACATACATCACGAAGAATACAACAAAAGCAGTAATAAGGAAGAAACAATAAGACGAGGATTCAAAGTCACCTAGAACAGGAGTCGAGTGAGTGATAAGTGGAATGACCGATGGCCAGGAACTTAACGAGAGATATTTAAGTATGGGTTCAAGGTACCTGTAATCATACAGTTAAACAGCTATTAAAAGTCAAGCTCTAAACGCTGTTCTAGTTGACGAGATTTAGCTACCTCCTCACGCCGGCCAATCTAAACCAAGGAAATTCCTCAGTGGAAAGGTTACCTTGTTTGGCATGCAAACAAAAAATCGATAGAATTACCTGGTCTTAAGACTCTTATATAGATGTATTATCTCTGAATTTTTACCATCCTTTTATTACTATTTAAATGAATGAAGCGCTTCAGAGTTTCTCGCATTTGTTTACTGATTGATGAGATAAACTGTCATTAATCTGCGTCAGGACAGTCAGGGGAAATCTTGCACATCATTTTAGATCAGCCGTGAGCTACTCATTCGAACGAATTGAAATTTAATAATTTAATTTAATTCTAATTTATAATGGAAATAAGACTAAATGGAGTGCAACTCATAGAGAAATCGGGCAGTGATTTAAAATTTAAATAGGCCGAGCGCATAGCGCGAGGGTGATTTGAAAGCACCTAATGTATCGGAAAAACATAATGCGAGAAGCTCTTGGTTAAAATGATAAATGTGAGAGCTCCTACCGTTCTTATTGCAAATGTTCGCTTACAGTTCAACTGTTTAAAGTTCTCAATAAAGACCGGTCAACTTGCTCATTTAAGAAGTTTTCCTTGATTTTGATTGGCTAGGGTGGGATAGGTAGTTTAATTTCATTGACTGATTACTTAAAGTGTTCAATCATTGTTAGCTGCTAAACTGTCTTATTTGGCCTGTCTGATTATAATATTTGTTTTTGGATGGGTGAAATTGGACAGTTTGGTTTTGAGAGAGTGCAATAAGGGCTTTAACAGCTGTTAAGGATCAATCATATTTTTTTTGCTGGCATAAGTACTTCTTGAAATGCATTCCACTCGGCATTATTGCAATTGCCAATTGAGGATCGAGGTATCAAATTAAGTATTGAATGATTACAAAATCAGTGAAAACACCATTTTGAATTTTCATTATACATCCCTAAACATCATATGTACTTAGTGAGGGAGGCTTCATCGGGTTTTTTGACCGCGCGAGATCTGAGTGCGAGCATAGCGCGAGCTTTTAAAGTGTCAACATACAAAACAAACATGGTGGCTCGATACGATCGATCACACGATTGTTATCTGAAAAGGTGTGTTAAAAACAGTTTAACATAAAGCAGTTTTTATGCGATGGAATCGAGGGTTTCTAGCAACTGCACCTGTAATATTCATAGGTCTTCTACGCCTGAAAAAGTGGTCAACCGAAAAGAAAACACCGTAGCAAAGATTGCCTAAAGGCGACTGATTCGAAAGACTACGCATGTTCGGATACCGATCATAGCGAAGTTCTGTTCTATTACGCAATGGTTGGCGACAAAGAAAATAGGGATCTTTCGAGTAAGATTTATTGCGTTTCCTTCGATGGAATTTCCTAAGATTTGCTGGACCGTTTAACATATTTGTTTCTTTCCTAATGCCCATGATAAGAAAAAATTCATGCGACAAAATTTGAAATAGAGGAAGAAAACAAAAAGTTGCAAATAGCACTATTTCTGGACTTCATTCAAATGTAAAATCTGAAGAACTTGAGAACAATCAGCAACATATGTGCTACTCAAGACACGCTCACAATTATGTCATAGATTCTCAAACAAAATCTCATGTAGAAGACTTCAAAAAGAGAGGGGAAGATGAAATGAAGGATTTAAAAAATTTTCACTTGGCATTTAAACTCGTTTCAATCTGCAATGATTCGATTTCATTTGAGAGCCATAACTGACCTCCGCTATGACTAAATACAACAGCGGTTCAGAAATGGAAATAAAATGAAGTTGACACAACTTACGTTTGTGACGAAAGGTTACAACTTTTTCATTCGCACTTTCCCATCTTCCAACTGAGGGGATATCAGAAAGGAGTGATTCAAAACTCGTGGTTTTTAAGGGGCTTGATTTTCGTGATACACTCAGTTGTAAAATAAAATGTGATATAAATAGCTCTGACGCAATAAAATACCTGATGCAAATTTACATATCTCGTTTGTAAACAAAATGAAGACAGATGTTTTGTGACTTTCGAATCAACTTTTTAGGAGTTTGATATACGTTATTCAAATGGTTTGACAGGAAATCAGCGGATCCTGGGCAAAATAAAGAATTTTTCGTACACAGACCAGATTTCTCTCTATCCAAAACTACACGGTCAAACAACCTCGGTCAGGGAATAAATCCTTTGTTTCCTTAGAAACTTGGGGTATGCAAGATTGTTCACAGCTGTATGTTTTCGCTTTAGTATTCACAGCTCGTTAGTAGGCTTAGAATATACAGTTCGCTAGCAAGACGACGATAAAAAACGTATGCAGCGACTTCTGAATGCGCTTAAAATTATCGATACTCGGCCAGAGACTTTCGAAATGTTTCAAGTTTAATGGAAGGTGGGCCAGCAGTTTTGCTGTGGTTTTCGACGCGTTGAAGTTTCCACCTATCGTCAACTAACTAGCGAAAAAAAAGACAACATTTAATTCGTAAGCAAATATGAGTATCATAGGTTAATAAATCAGCGCAATGAAAGAATCTCACAAAACAATATGACCTGTTGACTTAAACATGCCGATGCGAAATGAGCGAATTGTCGTAAATATCATCTCGCTTCTTCTTTCTGTAACATTTTCATTGTTTCATTCGATGAGTGCACCATAATTCTATAATGTTCAAAACAGTTCTGCGAAACCTAAAAGTCCTTGACATGGGCTCTAGCTAGCACCGCTGCAGAACAGAAAGTTTTTTATTGTGATCTCTCGTTTTGCTGCACATGGCTTAGAGAAAGGGTTCTTATAGGTCCAGAATGACGTCATCTCCAATCAGAACGAATGGGGCCCATTCCCTCGCCGTGTACTTCGTCGTCCCAGATTCTCTCATCCACTTCATGGTCCGGTAAAGAGCTTCACTGGCACTCATTTTATCGCACTTAACATGTCCGTAGAAACGAATCATGAACTCCTTTGTGGCTTTGTCATCGACGGCCCATAGAGAAACCAGCACTGAACGAGCTCCTGAAGCAATGAAGGCTCGAGCGATCCCCACAACTCCCTCGGCTTTCATAATCTTTCCTTTCGCACTGTGAAAAATTTTCATTTACCCTTTCTGGTTTTTGCTCGTTTAAAAAGAGTTTCCATCTAAAACTAAACTGTCGTAGGTTATCTTTTTTCTCTATTTTTTTCTTTCACAAATAAATGTACGTATGGACTTAATTACGGGCTATAAGGAAATCTTGCCCGAAGCTCAGATCATGAACAACGTAACAATTCCGTCTCGGCTTGCTTTGACTAGTGCGTGCACGGAGTCATCTTGATTTTCACCTTGAAAGCATAAACTTTCAATCAAAAATAGTTATGCACAAACCTCTGAACTCAAGCAACTTTAGAACCTTCCTTTGCTTTTCATGTCCTTTTCGTCAAGTTTTCCATCATCCTGCGCTAAAACTGAGTAAGAACAATCGTCTTAGAGGTGTTGTCGTCGATCTCTGCGATCCTAAATGAAGATGTATGCTACTTTCCTTCTTAATATGTTTTTCCGCTGGGCAAAGACATTATGTTTTACAAATTTTTAAACAAAAAGTGAAATACCAATGAGTCGTTATATGAGTTAGGAAATGTGAGATCAAGGAAAGAGGATCGAAAAAAACAGGCTTTGGAAAGCGAATAGGTCTTAAACAAATCATTTCTTGTTCGAAAGCAGAAATTAGGAAATGAAATATTCTGGTGGAAAAATAGAACATGAAAAAGGCCTTAAGAATAGCAAATGCAGAATGAAGAGAATAGTTTATAAGAGAGAATAGGTTAAGTCTTCGTTCCTTGGTGACAGTTCTTCAAGATAGATCTCTGAATTGCCTCTCCACAACACAAAGACACGTTAACTAAGAATGAGACCAGTGGAATACGCACGGCGGATATCGTTGATAGAGTGAGCGGACATACGATGTTTATACAAATTTCGCTGCGCTTTTTATCAGACTAAAGCAATCAATTAAAATGATCATTTATTTCAAACGAAAAAGAAATTTCTACGTCAGGAAAGGCTCGAGAGGACATGTGGTTATTTACGTCTTTGTTTGTTCGCATGATGTGCTCATTCTCCGTAAATGATAGTTCCTGCTGTCTGTCATCATGTCAAAAAAGGCGACGTGCCTGTTGATATTAAAACTGTTGCGGAACATAAACAAGTTATGATGTTTGAAAACATCGAATGGCAATGCCATTTCCATTAGAAAACCAAACGTTTGTAAAGACCCCTTGTCTTACTCTCCTGTAAAGTCTCATGTGGAAAAAGGCTTAAATAATGCGGAATAGGGCAGTTATTTCTTAGTTAGCTGAGGGGACAAACGAGCAAAGAAATACTCTTTGCGGAAAAAAGCAGCCGCAATCTTAGATCAATCAGAGCCAACCAACTGAAGCTCTAGCGCGATTTTTACAGATCGATAAGTTGAAGTACATTGAAAACACTTAAAGTTCCTTAGAAGAAAGGACAGTCAATACGATTTCGAAGCGGTTTACATTTTTCTTCGTTTTCTGTTAAGTAAAAGGAAAGGACAATGTGTCTATTGAGGTTATCAATAACCTTAAGTTTATCGCAATATTATGGCGACTATGTGAATTTGCTTAAAAAGCCATGACTCTAATTTTGTAGCAAAAATTTGGAAACCTCATCAAACTATTGTTTATATGAAAAACAAAATTCCTCGCCGTAGTTCCGAAAAACTACTTAAAAAGCTGTATCAGAGGTTTTAGCTTGACAAATAATTTCAACTCGCTTTACGACAAAATAATCCTATTATATCCAAAACAGTTCTTTAACAATTCTATATAGAACTTTGTAAAAAAAGCTACCAATACCTGAAAAAACAAATTGCTTAAGGAAGGTGAAGGTATTTATAATGTTAGCAAAGTGATACAGTTCTCCCTTCAGTGTTCTTGTTTTACTGCACCTCACTTATAACACAAAGGGTTTATAAGTCCAGATTGACGTCATCTCCAATCAGAACGAATGGGGCCCATTCGCTCACCGTGTACCTTGTCGTCTCAGATTCTCTCATCCACTTCATGGTCTGGTCAAGAGCTTCACTGGCACTCATATTGTCACACTTCAGATGTCCGTAGAAACGAATCATGAACTCCTTTGTGGCTTTGTCATCCACGGCCCACAGGGAAACCAGCACTGAACGAGCTCCTGAAGCAATGAAGGCTCGAGCGATCCCCACAACTCCCTCGGCTTTCATGATCTTTCCTTTAGCACTGTGACAACAGCTTAGTACAACAAGCTTCGCTCGGATCCGAACCTTGCTAACGTCCGCCATGGTCAGCATGTAGTCTTCCTTCGTTGGGTTTTGAGGGGAGGATGGGTTAGGTGCACAAGCAATCTCTCCTCTTTCCGCGTCACCATGGGCGGCGATGTGTACCAGACACACATCAGTTATTCGTCGCAGCACTTCTTCTTTCGTGGCTTGCATACCCAACAAAGGCTCCACCTCCAGAAGATCAGCGATTTCTTTAGCTTCCTGCCTAGCTGCTTTCAATTGCGGAAGTGCTGTGACATGACTCACTTGTGGATCGCCAACGATCAGCGCTCCATTCCGGCTGTGATAATTCTCTGGGGAGTCAAGAATCAACTTAAGTGTTGACAACGAAGGAATGATGCGAATACTGCACGAGTCAGACAGGTACTTTCCAGAATCGTCCTGTAGTGCGGCAAAAGGAACCATGACCATAGATCCCTCGGGAACAAGTACAAGCTCTCGGCCCTGAATACGATCAGCAAATGGAGCGATGAGTGACTTGTACAGTTGATTGGGTAAGTTTTCAACCTCACGTACCTCGTCGTCTGTCTCTTCAAGGAGCCTTTTCTCACTGACACTGTCGTGCTGGGTATCATCATCAGCAGCCTGAATGTCATACAAGGCTGACAATGTACGGTCCTCGCAGTTGACGTTTCGGCTGCAAAAAAGTGACCCGAAATTAGCTTCAAGGAGACAATCAACTTCTGCTTTTTCTTGAGACATTACCTCCAAATTCGGGCCTTGTTCATTTGTCATTATCCACAAGATGCTCTTATAGGCAGCAGAGCCAAAGAAAACTAAGATTTGACTCCTAGCCAAACTACCCATAAGGCTATATAGGTCAGTTTCACTCAATTTGGCCTTTTCTTGAATGCCGTATTCCTTTGCCAACAGTTCTGTCAATACACGGGCACGGCCTCGCTCTGCTGTACACAAAGCCTCGGCAAACTTACCAAGAACAAACAGCAAAAAGCAACGATGCGTGTACATACTGGTGTTGACATCTAAGTCTCCATCAGAAAGTTTGGACTCGTCATTCAAAGAGTCAAGACTGTTCTCATAACCTTTGATACTCTCAGCCAGGATGTCGCATGCTTGTTCAAAGTGCCCGTGTGTACTTATATAGAAACCAAGATCCCTGAGAGAGATATGCTTGTCTTCGTACCAACTTCCTGTCAATATTTTGTTTACATACTCAGTAGCTGTTTCTGGTTGACCAAGGAGTAGGTGAAGGTGACAGAGTTCGACGTAAATTTGGTCCTTGCAGTGTAAGGTCAGGTCTACTGAATGGTCTTCTCCACAGACGTCAAGACCTTTGTGTAAACACTTCATGGCTTCGTCAAATTGGCGAAGTTTAATTAGAACAGTGCCGAGCCTCATATAACCCGATAATCTTGCGTAAGGCAACTTTGCACTGAGCTGAATCTTTCTCTCGTAATATTCCTTTGCTTCTTCGTACTTACCATCAGCTCCGAAAAAGTCCCCTAAAGCTTGAAGCGCAAAGGCTTTCCTTTCATAATCTCCAATTTCTTCGGTTATTCGAAGTGCTTCCTCAAGTCTTTGAAACGCTTTATTTTTCTGGCCTGGCAAAAGCACCCTAAGTGCTGGTGTGATTAAGCATTCAAATTCTCTCCACCTGCAACCACCCCTACGACTTGTTTGAATTGATTTCTCAAGAAACTCTGCTGCCTCTTCCATCTGACCAACGTCAACATGTCTCATAGCAAGCAGATAGTAGATAGTTGCTTCTATCTCTGTATCACCAGATTCCTTGGTAACTGAGAGTATTTCCTCTAAACATTTAGTATTTCGGTCATGTTGGTTACGACCAAAAGCCAAACATACACAGAGTATTTGAAGACATGACTCTTCTGTCTTTTTGCTGCCAGTTTTCCTACTTTTAGCAAGAGCAAGTTCAGCATATATCCTTGACTCATCATACTCAAGCAAATGTAAGTTGATGACAGCGATGGAAAGAAATGCTGATATAGTGCTGTAATCCAATTCCTTTCGTGTTTTATCATTCATTAAGGCTCTTGATGAATTAAATTCCTGTTCGATGAATTCCAATAGTGTCACCAACTCTTTGTAAAATTTTAAAGCTGCCCGTCGACGCTTGGTGTTTTCCAGGAAACGTGCCACTGACGTTGTAATTTTCACAGCTCGCGAGGCATCCACTTTGTTCATATTTAACGCCGTTCTCTAAGTGAGTAAAGTAAAGCCTTCATGAGAAACTCCATACAGTTAAAACTGTATTAAGCGGTCATCCACGTGACCGTCTAATACAGGTCGACTGCTGAATACAGTTTCCACAGATTAGCGGTTTTATAAAAAGCGTAAATAACGCCACTTTATGCCATAATTGACCAAATAATGTACAGAATCTTGCTCGAAAATACTACATACCTTGATTCTTGGTGAGAGAAATGGATCAAAAGTTTCTTAAAAGATTATTATTAGTTTTGTTTGAGTGGTCCCACGTTCAGTGACCGTTCAATACAGGTAGAGAACAATATAAACAGGCCGAGGGGGCTCAGTAAAGGGTGACTGCGACCGCTTAATAGGGTGACCGCTAGATATGGTGCCGCCTAATGCAGGTTTGACTTTGTTCACAATTGAAAAATGTGAACAGTTCAATTCTTATAATTCAATTATTGCCTCCACCCAACTGCCTGGTAGGTAGGTTGAGGCACAATGTCACTTCCGCTTGCCTGAATAACGCACGTTTGATAATCATGTATCTCTACCAGTATGCATATCACCATCAGGTGCATTTTAACAACGCTTAAATCGCTGCACACGAGTGCATAAATATTACTATTGAAGGCTTTCATGTTTGCGAAACACTCCTACCACCCCTGAGTCACGAGCATAAAGAAAACGAACACCAACTAAGTAAGCTCTTAATTATAAAACAAATTCACCTTGGCAGCACCTTAGGAAATGTATAGAGAACAGTTTGGACAATACAGTGTATACTGATGCTAAGCTGTAGATGATTAACGCCCTTGTACGTTTTCTTTTTTTATCTTACATTGACATTGGAAATACACACTGTCAAGAACAATTGAGTTTTCAAAACGACATTAAGGTAAATACCTTGGAAAACGAAAGAAATTTAGAAACCGTCAGCAGCTGTCAATTTGCCGTAAATATTCATTTACCTCTTTGGGTTTGTGCTCGTTTCAAAAGTGTTTCCATCTGTAAACAAGGTTTCGTAGGTTATCTTTTTTCTCGATTTTTTCTTCTTAAAAAATAAATGTACGTATGAACTGAATTACGGGCTACAAGGAAATCTTGCTCGAGGCTCAGATCATAAATAACGTAAGAGTTCTGCCTCAGCTTGCTTTGACTAGTGCATGCTTGGAGTCATCTTGATTTTCACCTTGAAAGCATAAACTTTCAATCAAAAATAGTTATGCACAAACCTCTGAACTCAAGCAACTTTAGAACCTTCCTTTGCTATTCATGTCATTTTGGTCAATTATTCCATCATCCTGTGCTAAAAAGTAGTAAAAGCTAGAACAATCGTCTCAGAGGTGTTGTCGCTCTCTGCGATCCTAAATGAAGATACATGCCACTTTACTGCTTAATATGTTACTCCGCTGGATAAAGACATTATGTTTCACAAATCTTAAACGAAAAGTGTAGTACAAATGAGTCATGATATGAGTTAGGAAATGTGGAATCATAGAAAAAGGATCCAAAAAACGGGCTTTGGAAAGCGAATAGGGCTTAAGGAAGTAATTTCTTGTTCGAAAGTAGAAATTAGAAAAAGGAATTTTCTGGTGGAAAAAAAGAACATGAAAAAGTCTCTGAATTGGCTCTTCACAACACAAAGACACTTGTGCCAAGAATGAGAGCAGTAAAATACAAACAGTGAATATCATTGATAGAGTGAGCAGGCATACGATGTTTATAGAAATTTTGTTGCGCTTTTTATCAGACTAAAGCAATTAATTGGAATGATCATTTATTTCATACGAAAAAGAAATTTTATTTGTCAGGAAAGGCTCGAGAGAACGTGTGGCTATTTACGTCTTTGTTTGTTCGCATGATGTGCTCATTCTCGGCAAATGATAGTTCCTGCTGTCTGTCATCATGTCAAAAAAGGCGACGCGTCTGTTGATATTGAAACTAAAGCGGAACATAAACAAGTTATGATATTTGAAAAAATCGAATGCCAATGTCATTTCCATTAGAAAACCAAACATTTGTAAAGACCCATTGTCTTACTCTCCTGTAAAGGTATATGCGGAAAAAAGTATAAATAGTACGGATTATTGCAGTTGTTTTCTTAGCTTAGCAATGAGGATAAAAGCGCAAAGAAGTACTCTTTGCGGAAAAAAGTAGGCGCAATCTTAGATCAATCAGAGCGCGCCAACCAACTGAAGCTCTACCACGATTTCTACAGATCGATAAGTTTAACCGCATTGAAAATATTTAAAGTTCCTGGAAAGAAAGGACAGTCAATACGATTTTGAAGTGGTTTATATTTTTCTTGGTTTACTTTTAATAAAAGTAAAGGACAATGTGTCTATCGAGGTTATCAATAACTTTAAGATTATCGCAATATTAATATACAGCAACTGTGTGAATTCGCTTAAAAAGCTATGGCTCTTTAATTTTGTAGCCAAAATTTGGAAATTCATCAAACTATTGTTTATATGGAAAAAAAAGAATTCCTTGCCGTAGTTCCGAAAAACTACTTTAAAAGCTTTATCAGACCTTTGACCTTAACAAACACTTTCAACTCGCTTTACTACAAAATAATCTTATCATAGCCAGAAAAGTTCTTTAACAATCCTCTAGAACCTTAAAAAAGTTACTAATAACTCACAAAAAAATTGCTTAAGAAAGATGAAGGTATTTATAATTTTAGAAAAGTGATACCTGGTCGTCTTAGAAACAAAGTTTTTATAGGTCGCTCATCCCAATGGGGCTTCATGGGTCGTCTCTGGTGAAGAGCTTCAATGGCACTCATTTTATCACACTTCAGATGCCCGTAGAAACGAACCATGAACTCTTTCGTGGCTTTGTCATCGACGGCCCACAGAGAAACCAGCACTGAACGAGCTCCTGAAGCAATGAAGGCTCGAGCGATCCCCACAACTCCCTCGGCTTTCATAATCTTTCCTTTCGCACTGTGACAAATTTTTATTTACCCTTTCCGGTTTTTGCTCGTCTAAAAAGAGTTTCCATCTAAAAGCAAAGTGTCGTAGGTTGTCTATTTTCTCTATTTTATTCTTTCACAAATAAATGTACGTATGGACTTAATTACGGGCTATAAGGAAATTTTGCCCGAAGCTCAGATCATGAACAACGTAACAATTCCGTCTCGGCTTGCTTTGACTAGTGCATGCACGGAGTCATCTTGATTTTCACCTTGAAAGCATGAACTTTCAATCAAAAATAGTTATGCACAAACTCTGAACTCAAGCAACTTTGGAACCCTCCTTTGCTTTTCATGTCCTTTTCGTCAAGTGTTCTATCATCCTGCGCTAAAACTGAGTAAGAACGATCGTCTTAGAGGCGTCGTCGATCTCTGCGATCCTAAATGAAGATGTATGCTACTTTCCTTCTTAATATGTTTTTCCGCTGGACAAAGACATTATGTTTCACAAATTTTTGAACAAAAAGTGAAGTACAAATGAGTCGTTATATGAGTTACGAAATGTGAGATCAGGGAAAGAGGATCGAAAAAAACAGGCTTTGGAAAGCGAATAGGTCTTAAACAAATCATTTCTTGTTCGAAAGCAGAAATTAGGAAATGAAATATTCTGGTGGAAAAATAGAACATGAAAAAGGCCTTAAGAATGGCAAATGCAGAATGAAGAGAATAGTTTATAAGAGAGAATAGGTTAAGTCTTCGTTCCTTGGTGACAGTTCTTCAAGATAGATCTCTGAATTGCCTCTCCACAACACAAAGACACGTGAACTAAGAATGAGAGCAGTGGAATACGCACGGCGGATATCGTTGATAGAGTGAGCGGACATACGATGTTTATACAAATTTCGCTGCGCTTTTTATCAGACTAAAGCAATCAATTAAAATGATCATTTATTACAAACGAAAAAGAAATTTCTACGTCAGGAAAGGCTCGATAGGACATGTGGCTATTTACGTCTTTGTTTGTTCGCATGATGTGCTCATTCCCCGTAAATGATAGTCCCTGCTGTCTGTCATCATGTCAAAAAAGGCGACGTGCCTGTTGATAGCCGCAATCTTAGATCAATCAGAGCCAACCGACTGAAGATCTACCGCGATTTCTACAGATCGATAAGTTGAAGTACATTGAAAACACTTAAAGTTCCTGAGAAAGAAAAGACAGTCAATACGATTTCGAAGCGGTTTACATTTTTCTTCGTTTTCTGTTAAGTAAAAGGAAAGGACAATGTGTCTATTGAGGTTATCAATAACCTTAAGTTTATCGCAATATTATGGCGACTGTGTGAATTTGCTTAAAAAGCCATGACTCTAATTTTGTAGCAAAAATTTGGAAACTTCACCAAACTATTGTTTATATGAAAAACAAAATTCCTCGCCGTAGTTCCGAAAAACTACTTAAAAAGCTATATCAGAAGTTTAAGCTTAAAAAATAATTTCCACTCGCTTTACGACAAAATATTCCTCTTTAACAATTTTATAGCACTTTGTAAAAAAAGCTACCAATAACTGAAAAAAAAAATTGCTTAAGAAAGGTGAAGGTATTTATAATGTTAGCAAAGTGATACAGTTCTCCCTTCAGTGTTCTTGTCTTACTGCACCTCACTTATAACAAAGGGTTTATAAGTCCAGATTGACGTCATCTCCAATCAGAACGAATGGGGCCCATTCCCTCACCGTGTACCTGGTCGTCTCAGATTCTCTCATCCACTTCATGGTCCGGTGAAGAGCTTCACTGGCACTCATTTTATCACGCTTCAGATGTCCGTAGAAACGAATCATGAACTCCTTTGTGGATTTGTCATCCACGGCCCACAGAGAAACCAGCACTGAACGAGCTCCTGAAGCAATGAAGGCTCGAGCGATCCCCACAACTCCCTCGGCTTTCATGATCTTTCCTTTAGCACTGTGACAACAGCTTAGTACAACAAGCTTCGCTCGGATCCGAATCTTGCTAACGTCCGCCATGGTCAGCATGTAGTCCTCCTTCGTTGGGTTTTTAGGGGAGGATGGGTTAGGTGCACAAGCAATCTCTCCTCTTTCCGCGTCACCATGGGCGGCGATGTGTACCAGACACACATCAGTTATTCGTCGCAGCACTTCTTCTTTCGTGGCTTGCATACCCAACAAAGGCTCCACCTCCAGAAGATCAGCGATTTCTTTAGCCTCCTGCCTCGCTGCTTTCAATTGCGGAAGTGCTGTGACATGACTCACTTGTGGATCGCCAACGATCAGCGCTCCATTCTGACTGTGATAATTCTCTGGTGAGTCAAGAATCAACTTTAGTGTTGACAGCGAAGGAATGATGCGAATACTGCACGAGTCAGACAGGTACTTTCCAGAATCGTCCTGTAGTGCGGCAAAAGGAACCATGACCATAGATCCCTCGGGAACAAGTGCAAGCTCTCGGCCCTGAATACGATCAGCAAATGGAGCGATGAGTGACTTGAAAAGTTGATTGGGTAAGTTTTCAACCTCACGTACCTCGTCGTCTGTCTCTTCAAGGAGACGTTTCTCACTGACACTGTCGTGCTGGGTATCATCATCAGCAGCCTGAATGTCATACAAGGCTGACAATGTACGGTCCTCGCAGTTAACGTTTCGACTGCAAAAAAGTGACCTGGAGTTGGCTTCAAGGAGTGTATCAACTTTGGCTTTCTCTTGGGAAATCGCCTCCAATTTCGGACCAAAGTCATTTTTCATTATCCAGAAGATGCTCTCTTTGAGACCAGAGCCAAAATAAACTATAACTTGTCTTTTCGCCAAACTAACCATAAGGCTATTGAGTTCCGTTTCACTAAACTTGGCCTTTTCGTGGATCCTGTATTTCTTTACCAACAGTTCTGTCAATACATGGGCACGACCTTGCTCTGTTGTACATAGAGCCTCGGCAAACTTACCAAGAGCGAGTAGCAGAGAGCAGCGTTGGTGGTAAATCACGATGTTGTCTTCTCCGTCTCCTACAGAAAGTTTGGACTTGTCATTTAAAGACTCAATATAGTTTTCATAACCTTTGATGCTTTCAGCCAGGATGTTGCATGCCTCTTCAAAGTGTCCATGTGCAGTAATGTAGGCACCTAGGTGACTAAGAGATTGATGCTTCCCCTCGTACCAACTTCCTGTTAATATTTTGTTTACATACTCAGTACCTTTTTCCGGTTGACCAAGAAGTAGATGTAGATGACAGAGTGCGACGAAGATTTCGTCCCTGCAGATTAAGGTCTGGTATACTGGTTTGTCCTCTTCCCAGACTTCAAGGGCTTTGTGTAAAAGCTTTATGGCTTCGTCAAATTGTTTAAGTTCAACAAGAACAGTACCGAGCCTAATATAAAGCCATATTCCTATTTGAGGCAATTTTGCATCGAGTTGCAGTGAGTTCTCGTAAAACTTCTTTGCCTCTTCGTACCTACCATCAGCAAAATGAGCGTTCCCTAAAGCGAAAAGAGCACTGGCTTTCCACCTAATGTCTCCAATTTCTTCGCTTATTTCAAGAGCTTCCTCAAGTTTCTGAAACGCTTTATTTTTCTGGCCTGGCAAAAGCACTACAAGTGCTAGTGTGATTAGGCATTTAACCTCTAACCACCTGTAACCACCTTTCTGACTCGTTTGAATTGATTCCACTAGAAACTCTGCTACCTCTTCCATCTGACCAACGTGAGCATGACTTATGGCAAGAAGATAGTAGGCAATTGCTTCTGTCTCTATATCGCCGGATTCCTTGATAACTGAGAGCATTTCTTTTAGACATTCAGTATTTAGGTCATGTTGGTGACAACCAAAAGCCAGACATAGACACATTATTTGGTGACATAACTTTTCTGTCTCTTTGCTGCCAGTTTTTCTACTTTTAGCAAGAGCAAGTTCAGCATATATCTTTGACTCTTTATACTCACCCAAATGTAAATTGACTTTAGCAAGAGAAAGAAATGCTGATTTAGTCCAGTGATCGAACTTCTTTCGTGTTTTATCGTATATTGAGGCTCTTGATGAATTAAATTCCTGTTCGATGAAGTCCAATAGTGTCACCAACTCTTTGTAGAGTTGTAAAGCTGCACGTTGACGCTTGGTGTTCTCCAGGAAACGTGCCACTAACGTTGTAATCTTCACAGCTTCCGCCACATCCACTTTGGTCATATTTAACGGCGTTCTCTGAGTGAGTTAAGTAAAGCCTCCATGAGAAACTCCATACTGTCGAAACTGTATCAAGCAGTCATTAACGCGGAACGGGGTGACCGTCTAATGCGGGTTTACTTATAAATACAGTTTCCACAGATTAAGGGTATTATAAAAAGTATACATAAAGCCACTTTATACCATAATTGAGCACATAACGTACAGAATCTCGCTCGAAAATACCACTTACTTTGATTTGAGGAGAGAAAAAGTGATCAACACCTATTTAAAGATTTTTTTCTTAATTTTGTTTGAGTGGTCCTACTTTCAGTGACCGTTCAATACAGGAGAAAGACAATAAAAACAGGTCATTCAGACTTAGTAAAGGGTGACTGCGACCGCTTAATAGGAGTGACCGCTTAATAGAGATGAAAACTATAGTTCTTAAGGGGAAACAAATTCAGGAGTTTGACAACTGACCGCTTAATACAGGGTGACTGCCAAATATGGTGCCACTTAATACAGGTTTGACTTTGTTTAACCATCTCCACAACAATTGAAAAATGTAAGCAATTCAATTATTGAAGAAAGATGTTTTTTCGTCTTGTCAAGCGTGGGACAAAGAAAAAATTCTGAGTCCCCACGAAGAATCGAACCTCAGACCTTCGGATTCCGCGCTCCGATGCTCTAAAAACTGAGCCACAGAGACTCCACGGTGAGCGAGGTCTATTACGAAGTTCATATCACACGTGTCCTGCATACTGCTAGGATCAGCAATGTCGAAAGCGTGATGTTTGTAGATAGAAATACGAGAGATGGTAAGTTTTGAGCTCGATAAAGAAATAAAGAAAGATGTTTTTTCGTCCTGTCACGAGCGTGGGACAAAGAAAAAATCTGAGTCCCCATGAGGAATCGAACCTCAGACCTTCAGATTCCGCGCTTCGATGCTCTAATCACTGAGCTACAGAGACTCTACGGTGAGCGAAGTCTATTACGAAGTTCATATGACACGTGTCCTGCCAACTGCTAGGATCAGCAATGTCGAAAGCGTAATGTTTGTAGATAGAAATACGAGAGATGGTAAGTTTTGAGCTCGGTAGGACGCGTGTCATATGAACTTCGTAATAGACCACGCTCACCGTGGAGTCTCTGTGGCTCAGTGGTTCTATTTCTTTACCGAGCTCAAAACTTAAGATCTCCCTATTTCAATTCAATTATTGCCTCCACCCAACTACCTAGCAGGCAGGTTGAAGCACATCCCCACTTCTGCTCGCCTGAATAACGCACGTTTGATAATCATGTATCACTACCAACATACATATCACCACCAGATGTATTTTGACAACGCTTAAATCGTTGCACACGAGTGCATAAATATTACTATTGAAGGCTTTCGTGTTTGCGAAACACTCCTACCACCCCTAAGTCACGAGCATAAAGAAAACGAACACCAACTAAGTAAGCTCTTAATTATAAAACAAATTCACCTTGGCAGCACCTTAGGAAATGTATAGAGAACAGTTTGGAAAATGTGTATGTAAGGGGTAGACAGCTACCCCACCCTAGCCCCCAGAGTAATTTAGTCACGGGGGACGAAAAATTGGATTACGAGGTCGAAGTTAAAAAAAAAATTGAATCATTGAACAATATTTGTCTCTTTAAATATTTGTCTTCACAAGCGAACCCAATATGTATACTGATGTTCGGGTGTAAATGGTAACACTCATACGATCTCCGAAAAAAACAGGTATTTCATTACATCTCCCTTCTTGATTTTACATTGACAATGAAATTACACAGTCAGTTTCAAGAACAATTAAGTTTTCAAAACGACATTGAGGTAAGTGCTTTGGAAAACGAAAGAAATTTAGAGATCGCCAGCAGCTGTCAATTTGCCGTAAATTTTCATTTACCCTTTTGGGTTTTTGCTCGTTTCAAAAGAGTTTCCATCTAAAAGCAAAGTGTTGTAGGTTATCTTTTTTCTCTATTTTTTTCTTTCACGAATAAATGTACGTATGGACTGAATTACGGGCTATAAGGAAATCTTGCCCGAAGCTCAGATCATGAACAACGAAACAATTCCGTCTCAGCTTGCTTTGACTAGTGCATGCACGGAGTCATCTTGATTTTCACCTTGAAAGCATGAACTTTCAATCAAAAATAGTTATGCACAAACCTCTGAATTGAAGCAACTGTAGAGCCTTCCTTTGCTATTTGTGTCATTTTCGTCAATTGCTCTATCATCCTGCGCTAAAACGGAGTAAAAACCAGAACATTCGTCTTACAGGCGTTGTCGACCTCTGCAATCCTTAACAAAGATACATGCTACTTAACTGCTTATTATGTTACTACGCTGGGCAAAGACATTATGTTTCACAAATTTTTAACGAAAAGTGAAGTACGAATGAGTCATTATTTGAGTTAGGAAATGTGAGATCAAGGAAAGGGGATCGAAAAACAGGCTTTGGAAAGCGAATAGGACTAAAGGAAATCATTTCTTTTTCGAAAGCAGTAACTAGGAAATAAATTTTCTGGTGGAAAAATAGAACATGGAAAATTCCATAATAATAGTAAATACAGAATGAAGAGAATAGCTTAGAAGAGAGAGTAGGCTAAATCTTTTTTCCTTTGTGACAGTTTCTGCAATATAGATCTCTGAATTGTCTCTCCACAACACAAAGACACGTGAATTAAGAATGAGAGCAGTGGAATACGTCACGGTGGATATCGTTGATAGAGTGAGTGGATATACGATGTTTATACAAATTTTGCGGCGCTTTTTATCAGACTAAAGCAATCAATTGGAATGACCATTTATTTCATCCGAAAAAGAAATTTTGTTTGTCAGCAAAGGCTCGAGGGGACATGTGGTTATTTACGTCTTTGTTTTTTCGCATGATGTGCTCATTCTCCGCAAATGATAGTCCCTGCTGTCTGTCATCATGTCAAAAAAGGCGATGAGTCTGTTGATATTGAAACTATAGCGGAACATAGACAAGTTATGATATTTGAAAAAATCGAATGCCAATGCCATTTCCATTAGATAACCAAACGTTTGTAAAGACCCCTTGTCTTACTCTCCCGTATAGTCTCATGTGGAAAAAAGCATAAATAGTACGGATTATGGCAGTTATTTTCTTGGCTTAGCAATGAGGATAAACGAGCAAAGAAGTGCTCTTTGCGAAAAAAAGTAGGCGCAGTCTTAGATCAATCAGAGCGCGCCAACCAACTGAAGCTCTACCGCGATTTCTACAGATCGATAAGTTTAACCGCATTGAAAACGCTTAAAGTTCGTGGTAAGAAAGGACAGTCAGTACGATTTCGAAGCGGTTTAAATTTTTCTTGGTTTACTTTTAATAAAAGTAAAGGACAATGTGTCTATTGAGGTTATCAATAACCTTAAGTTTATCGTAATATTAATATATGGCGACTGTGTGAATTTCCTTAAAAAGCCATGGCTCTTTAATTTTGCAGCCAAAATTTGGAAATTTCATCAAACTATTGTTTATATAGAAAAAAAGAATTCCTTGCCGTGGTTCCGAAAAACTACTTTAAAAGCTATACCAGAACTTTGAGCTTAACAAATAATTGAACTCGCTTTACTACATAATAATCTTATAATATCCAAAACAGTTCTTTCATTGACAATCCTATAGAACCTTGAAGAAAAAAAGTTTCTGAAAACTGACAAAAAAACTGCTTAAGAAAGGTGAAGTCATATCTAATTTTAGAAAATTGATACACTTCTCCCTTCTGTGTTCTTATCTTGCTGCACCTCATTTGAAACATGGTTTTTATAAGTCCAGTTTGACGTCATCTCCAATCAGAACGAATGGAGCCCATTCCCTCACCGTGTACCTTGTCGTCTCAGATTCTCTCATCCACTTCATGGTCCGGTGAAGAGCTTCACTGGCACTCATTTTATCACACTTCACATGTCCGTAGAAACGAATCATGAACTCCTTTGTGGCTTTGTCATCCACGGCCCACAGGGAAACCAGCACTGAACGAGCTCCTGAAGCAATGAAGGCTCGAGCGATCCCCACAACTCCCTCGGCTTTCATGATCTTTCCTTTAGCACTGTGACAACAGCTGAGTACAACAAGCTTGGCCCGAATCCGAACCTTGGCGATGTCTCCCATAGTCAGCATGTAGTCCTCCTTCGTTGGGTTTTGAGGGGAAGATGGGTTAGGTGCACAAGCAATCTCTCCTTTTTCCGCGTCACCATGGGCGGCGATGTGTACCAGACACACATCCGTTATTCGTCGCAGCACTTCTTCCTTCGTTGCTTGCTCACCCAACAAAGGCTCCACCTCCAGAAGATCAGCAATTTCTTTAGCTTCCTGCCTAGCTGCTTTCAATTGCGGAAGTGGTGTGATATGACTTACTTGTGGGTCGCCAACGATCAGCGCTCCATTCCGGCTGTGATAATTCTCTGGGGAGTCAAGAATCAACTTAAGTGTTGACAACGAAGGAATGATGCGAATACTGCACGACTCAGACAGGTACTTTCCAGAATCGTCCTGAAGTGCGGTAAATGGAACCATGACCATAGATCCCTCGGGAACAAGTACAAGCTCTCGGCCCTGAATTCGATCAGCAAATGGAGCGATGAGTGACTTGTACAGTTGATTTGGTAAGTTTTCAGCCTCAAGGTCCTCGTCGTCTGTCTCCTCAAGGAGACGTTTCCCCCTGACTCCGTCGTGCTGGGTATCATCAGCAGCATACTGAATGTCATACAAAGCTGACAATGAACGGTCCTCACAGTTAATGCTTCGGCCGTAAGAAAATAACTCGATATAAGTCTTCAGGGGAGAATCTTGATTGGCCCCTTTTGGATTCCTCATCTCCAATGTGGCATCATTCTTCATTATCCAGAACGTGATTCTTTTACCTCTTGGAGTGGCGATAAATACTAAAATTTGATTATCATTCAGACGCTTTAGAAGTATATTGAGGTCATTTTCACTTAGCTCTGCCTCTTCTCGAATGGCATATTTCTCTGCTAACAGTTCCGCCAA